ACGAAACAGACGCTTAAACTCCAAAAAAGACTCTCCATCCACACCCCCCAGCACTTCGACATATTCCGGTGGTAGTTTGAATGGTGCAGCTTCAAAACCTATGTTACCCGGAGAATTGGACAACATGAACCCAAAATCTATATGAATAAGGTGTCCCTCTCGGTCCAGCAATATGTTCCCATTGTGCCGATCCTTTATTTGCAACAGGTACGTTACGATGGAATAACCTACGAAATGTGTAGAGCATTTAATATAGGAATCAAGGTATTGAGAGCGGGACAGACCTGCGAGTGACTTTGCAAAGTTGCGTTGCGCTCGGACAAACTTGGCCGTAGATGGATCACCATAAGTCTTGACATGTATTTCAGCACGTCATCGTTTGCGCAAAACGATGAAACGAGGGACCAACCGACTTGAAGTGATCTAGGAGAGTGACATATCCAAAACGGCCTTCCGCCAACCGTCTTGCATATTCGGACTTCTTGATGGAGTGTATTGACACGGCATCTGTTATGGTCTCTACCAAGCCCGACGATGCGCCAGTGATTAGAATCTGGAAGCTGGAAGTAGTTAAGCTCACGCCACTAACGTAATTTGTTGAAGCAAACTCACTAGCGGACCCAGCATTGACAGTCCTCTTCTTGCCAAATTTGCTCAAACTGCTGTATAAGCTGAACGGCGACCTGTTCTTGGCGAAGGTCGCCGCCAGTTTTGACGATCACAGAGACACAATCCCAGTTCGCTGGCGATGGTAAGTTCAACAACTGAATGCAATTTTTTCCATAGCAAGGCTATAGCCTTACCTAGATGACCATACGGTGATCCGTGCTGTATTCGACTCTGGAATGGCAGAAATGGCAGTCATACAATAGTAAAATTAGCCAAACCCACCTTCTTCGTCGCCCAAGATTCGCTGAATATTAAGGCGGAAGGATCGGCCTTATTCAGCTCACGTTTGATGATTGTTTCGTCCTCAGCAGTCTTCAGGTTATCGCCCACATCACCAATGCGCATTATCCTTTCTCCTTCCCTGTGTTCTCGCATACGCTCCATTCGCTCTTCCTCAAGCGCGATCATCTCCTTCATGATACGGTCTCTGATGGCGGCTGCCTCTGCGTGTTGTACACGCATCCGTGTGGTCGCTGGTGAATCACCAACCCTTCCAGCGAGCGAGGGATGTAGTGGCCCGCTGTTTGCCTGGTGATGCGGACTGACTAGCCAACCAGAACCAGGGAACCAACTCAGAGGACCAGACGGCGAACTCAAACCAACAAGAGTCGCAGTTGAATCGGAAGAAGGTAATGTGGTTACTGCTTCGCGAATAAGGTTCGCATTGAGCTGCGAAAGCATGACAGCTGCCGTACGCATGCGTTCGGAGTAATCGTCAAGCGAGAGTATACGGCTATTGCTGTTACTATTAGGTGGTGGATCTGGCAGCTGAGGGGTTGAAGGTAGTGTCGAAAACCGATCACCAGTGGGTGGAAAGGCGGGTGAAGAAGACAGCGATAATATCCCTTCTGGGTTGGGCGAAGAAGATAAGGAAGAGGTTCGAGACCACGCGACCATATCCAGTTCCTTGTTCTTCAGCACTGGTGGAAGTACAATGGACTCGGTAAGGTCTATTGGCCTGCGGAGAGACTCGCCGGCTCCGTACAGTTGTTCAACGAGGTCCATCTCTTCATCATCACCAATGAGAGAACTTGTACTGCTGGTAGCAGAAGCCACAGGGACCAGCGGAGCTTCTGCCTCCTCAGCGGACTCCTTTCCCAAGGCGTTTTCGGAGCCAACAACAGGATCCCCAAGGGGCTTGTGTTTCGAAGGAAGAGGTGACCTGGTGAAAGCAATGAGTTCTCTCGAAGCACCTTTGCGTTCGTTCTCCTTTGTTACGATCCGCTTCAGCGTCTCCTTATTACTTCTCTTTGTCGGATCAAAGTCGAGGTCATCGTGCAGTATCTCGATAATGAGCAAATAAGGTGCTCGCTCCGCAGAATTAAGCACAACGCTTTCGCCAGGGGGGATTCGAACTATCTTGTGGTGCGGTTGAGAGGCATTCCGAGATGCAGAATTATCGGATGAAGAGCACCACATAGGCATGCATACCTGAGATTCCATATCATGAACTGAGGTATAAATAAAGAGGAAGATGTTACCTCTGCAGGAAGCTTGTGGTTAAGAGCAGTTAATTCAGCTCTAAGGGCGCTTACTCGCGCAGGTTTTGGCACGACGAGTAGGCGGTTAGAGATATGTTCGAGCGTTATTAAGAATTGGATCTGTTACGCTTGTGTAAAGCCAAAGTGATAATGTCAGCGGAAATTGCTTACTTCTGAACGGTAATAGTGACTTTTGAGGAGATGCGCTTGTGAATCCAAATCATACCGTTGAAGGAGGGAATCGCCAAAGTTCAGTGGATTCTGCCGAAAAGGATGCTGGGTAGTTGGTATCGAAGGAGATGATTGGTATGGGCTGGCAACGCGTGATGGTTGTGAGGGATCAAGCTGATCGAGTGGATCCTCAGATAATGTTGACCGATGCATGTTTTGCAAATGAACCAGAGCGGGACTTGTCTGCGCGGCAACAACCGTCCGACGACGTTTGAGAATCTTCTTGGAGACCGCAGGATCATGGGGGGCACAACTATCATTAGAAGAGTGTTCATGAGAACTAGCCGTACGGCCATCTTCATTTTTTCCATCTGAACCACCGTCATCATCATCCCCAGAGTCATCACGGGTGGTCTTCCCTGATCCCGAAGCAACGTCATTGTCATCGGTCTGGACGCTTTTCAGGTCTGATCCGTCCTCGTCAGCACGGCCCTGCTGCAACGCAACCTCACCCATGACCTCAGTAAGCTCAGGCACGGCAGGAGTTCCAGCTAACATCAAACCAAGTCCAATGAATACCGGTTCGACATGGGTTTTAACCTTCCGACGTGAGAAGCGCGCCTGGAACGGCATGTCCAAGCCAGAGTACGGACCAGAGACTGGAGTTGGAAGATCACCAAAGATGATGTCATGACATCTTTGTAATGTCCGCTGGCATACCTGAAAAGACGGAGAACTACGTGATGAGGATAGATCTTGCAAAGAAGCTTGCATAAGCCAAAGGGTCTCCACAGGAATCAGCTGTGAGCTTGAAGCTACGGGGCTGCTGTCTACGTACAATCATGGCTATATGCGTGGACCGTTGTGAGATGTCTACTACAAAGCATTCCAGTGCCCGTGATTTGGAAGGCCGGGTGACGAGCAAATGACTAACGAGACTATTAGTATAATTCTACGACACGATGAACACTGGTAGATACCATATGAAACCCCATACTTCGCGTAATTCCTGCGTGTCAAGTTCTTTCAACCTTCGGGTAAGGTAGTATGTGATGCCTATATTGTCGGCATACAGCATCAAATATTGTAAGGCCACATGAACAGAGAAGAAGGACGGTGATAAAAACAGTCGTAGGAGAAGGGCATGGGACATGTCTGACAGGGCTGGTCGCCGTCTAGGACGGTGAGCAGTGCCAGAGACCCTGATCCTAAACTGCCTAGTTCCCACGGCTGCTATATGAATCTTTGTTAGTACACGTTGACAACTTTGGTCACTCTTGACTAACGCTTTACTTTCAATATGCTCTGGCCACTGCTCGCTCTCTCACTTTTTCCCTTATCATTAGCGGCACAGAAATCAGTGCACGAGCAGCTGGTGGATCTTGCAGCAGCTGGAAATGGACTCATACAGCTCAATGAACAGACTTATGATTTACTTGCCTCCCCGAAGCGCGACTGGTCGGCTGCTGTGCACTTCACTGCGCTCCATCCCCAGCGGCGCTGTGCTCCTTGCAAGTCAGTTACAAGATTCCAAACATGCATCGGAAGCTAATTGCGACCTTCACAGAGAATTTGAGCCAGCATTCACTGCTGTAGCTAAAGCATGGGCGAATGCTCCGAAAGACCAGCGGGACAAGCACTTCTTCGCTACTCTTGACTTTGATGATGGGCCCGCCGTCTTCCAAAAGGTAATCGTACCATTATATCTTACAAAGCCACAATCAAAAATTGACGCGTTCATTAGCTCGGCATGTCTTCTGCGCCAGGTGTTCACGTATATCCCCCGACTGATGGGCCAAACGCGTCTGCAAAGAAAGCCCCCTTCAAATACGATTTCCAAAAGTAGGAGTTTCACTAAACCCTTGATTTAAAACCCTTAGTGTACTCTACAGTGGTTTCGAAGCTGGACCCCTCGCTGAGCAACTCTCTGTTCACACCCCAATCCCTATCCCATATAAGGCTCCCTTTAACTGGGCGCGGGCGGGCAGCATCGTCTCACTCATCCCAATCATTACCCTTATCTTTCGTTTTATCAAACCAGCACTGCAAAACCGCTGGGTCTGGGCTGCTGGCACGATCGCTACTTCCCTAGTCATGACCTCCGGTTACATGTTTACTCGCATCAGAGGGGCACCTTATACTGGCCCTAACGGCGCTTGGATCGCTCAAGGCTATCAGAATCAGTATGGACAAGAAGTTCAAGTCATCGCCATGGTTTGTACGTCGTCTCGCACCTCACACCTCAGGTTGGTACTGATTATTCATAGATGGAATCTTGGCTGGATCTTTCTTGATGTTAACTGTCGTCACACCGCGCCAACTGTCGCCCACCCGTCAAAGAACTCAGGTATATCTCTGGACTACAGTAAACTTCCTCGTGTTCAGCATTTTAGTATCACTTTTCCGTGTTAAAAACCCAGGTTGGTCTATGTCGAGTATTCACACGCAGCGCTGATATTTCTGTTTTAGGCTATCCGTTCAAGCTCATTCTATAGAATCATGTAGTCCATTTCGCAAATTAATGGCAGCCACACATGCACTTGAATTATAAAAAGCAAATAAACATGTACATGCATGAGGTGTGACGAACGACGAAAGCCAAAAAGATATCCAGAATAAATCGATGTAATGATCTCTATGATAAGGATCTGTATAAGTGATCTACGAAGCATTCTCTTGCTGTTGGAAAACATCAACATAGCGGGTTCGTACATTGCGTTTGGTGGCTTGCGAGCGTGGGCGACTCGGTGTCATGGGAGTTGATGGCGGCGCTGGTGTATTTGGGAGAGATGTTGCTTCAGTGGGAGCAAGATTCGAACGCACTCGCATGGGCGGCTTAGCAGTGGGAGATGTGCTCAAATCAGTAACCGAAGCAGATCGGGCTGGTGGAGGTGCTGAACTTGCACCATTGGCATGAGGAAGTGGAGCACTTGCCCGCGCTGGTGAGGTTGTCTGTGCTCTTGAAGGAGGTGGGGGTGGTGCAGCTGACTGCGTGGTTTCAGTACCAGCCTGACAAGTCTTTGAGTGACATCACACATCCTGATAGCATTGGTCGCATACCTTCTTGTTTACCCAACGCTTGAGGTCTTTGTCGTAATAGAAAGCCGATTGATCTCCAAGACTAGCCTTGATAGGACCAGGGGCTGTTTCAGAACGCTTCCAGAATCGACCCAACCAAGAGCTTGGTGCCGCCGAAGCCGTCGCTGGCGGATTGGCATCTAGCGACAACAGCTATTGATGAATGTTGTGACGAAGAGGTAACCACAACTGACCTTTCTTTTCCTCTGTTTTCTTGACGTCCTCTACGGGCGTGGCAGATTTCTCACTGCTCCCAGATCCAGCTGGACGTTCACGTTTGTTTGCGTTATTGCCAAAGCCCAAATCCTCGTCCTCATCCTGGAAGCTTGGTTGCAGCTGGTGAGTCGGCATGGATGGGCTGGGAGCCACAGCCAACGCGGGGTCGTCCATTAAGGAGATGAAACCATCAGACGAAGCCTGGAAATGGTCGACTGAGTGAAAAGTGGCCGTGGTCGGTGTGGGGCCAGAGTCCGAATTGTTAAGCGAAGACCACCATCCTGTCTCTTGCTGTTGTTGCTCAGAGCCCTCCTCGGCAGTCATCTCTAAAGAGGGCTTTCGTGACAACGGTTCGGTACCATAGGCAGGGGCGTAGCCATTTGTTGTTGAATGCCCATTCATTCCCGAGCCATGTGCGGAGTACGGGTAAGCTGGTCGTGGTGGGTGCACAGGCGCAGTCAAGGGAGGTGCTGGTGACGGCTGCCGTGTTGAGTGGTAATAGTCCATGGCAGATGAGGCGCGATCAATAGGCACGTGGGAGTGAGAAGTTGAGACTGCCATCGCGGAACCGCTTCTGCGAGGAGGCGGTATACCTGACATTGAATGCGGATTCATCACCCCAGGGGGAGGCGATGGACTTGCGGAGGTTGTAGTTGATGAAATCTCGCTGAAGTGAGAGAAAGGTCCTAGGGATGACACTTGACTCTTTGACGGTACCGGCGGAGGCGAAGGCTCATCCCCTTCTCCAGCGATGAACTTCGTCAAGCGTCCCTCAAGCCAACTGCCGATACTGTCAAGACTAGGTTTGTTCACCTTCCCACCTATCCAAGATCCGCTCTTTGCCATCTGTGGAGTACCGATCAAGCGATTCGCTAACCCTTTCAATTGCTCGATAAGGACGGAATTGAGATAGTGTGATGGATGTGTCATTGCAGCGGTGATTGCCTCGCAATATCTGTAGTCCGATTAATAAGGCGCAGAATTGCACTAGAAGATAGACCCACCTGCTAGCTGCCTGTATCTCGCCAATCTCCGCGAGATACGAAGCCCTGATAAGCTTGTATGCCTGTAAATGCGGCAGCCCGTGGAATGGTTCTTGTCCTTTTGTAACGCTCTTCAGCGAGAAGGCAAACTCGGCAATTTCGGACAGAATGATGGGGTCAGTGTCTTTATAGAAAGAGGGCCATGCGTGTGGATTCCGCGAGCCGATAAGAACAATTCGACCCGATGGACTCCCAATTCCACCTATCGGAGAAGTCTGAGGAGAGAGCAAGTAACTGACGGATGATCTTAGCACAGGAAAACAAGTACAAGAATTATACAATTACCATACATGCGCAGCTTCGACCTGTTGATGTGATACAAGGTAGTCGCCCAGTGCAGTCAGGGCTGCGGACCACTCAGGGGACACAGGACTGGAAACCATCGATGCTACAAGTTCTGGCCACTTCGATAAAGCATTGGCAGGGATTTGTGCTGCCATTGCTGGTGAAGGAAAACTAGGCGACATTGGCGTGGTGTGCACAACAGCCGGTGTAGGGACTTGCAATGTAGCCGTTCTGGCGAGCAGATTGGTGGGAATCAGTTCCTGGACTGTTTGTCAAGTAGCTTCATATCAGAAAATTCAGCTCAGAAAATGATCACTGACCAGCAGTTGGTCCCTGACCAGAGAATAAACTGTAGACTACACGAAGCCACTCTCTTCCGTTACTGGAAGGAGGTACATGTTCCTTTCCTCGTCCAACAAAAGCCGTCCGCTGTGCATCGTGAATGCCCAATTCTCCTTTGATGAACTCGTTGACAACGTCCTTCCAAGCCTCCTTGTCGATGCTGCTTGCAATGACCATCGCGTGTGCCCACAGTTTCTCATCCAGCGCATAATTATAAGCTTGTCTCCTTTCGCCTCTCACAAGGAATTCTTGTATCTTGTCTAACGCGGATGGAAGGAGCATGGAAACTGATATGGGTGTCTCACTCGTGCTAGTGTGACTACCGTTGAGGCCAGGAATCGTACCAAGGGCATTGGGTACACAAGAAGCAAAACCCGGTGTCGAGATGTCAGCACCCTCAGACGCAGCAATGCGTGGAAGCAGTGCCGTTCTCACAGCTGAGTCAATGTGAGCGCTGGAATGAAATGAGTTAAGGATACCTATTCATGGTCTGGCGACAGACCTTCCCGACAGTGCACCATCGTTCTCAACCATGATCTTGAGCAACTTGACTAGAATCAATTTCCCTTCAGTACGCTGCTTCTCGGTTCCATCTGACATATACGTCGTCGCACGTGTGAGTTCTTCAATCCGATCCTCCAGATACTTGACGACGCGTGCTTTCTTCGTTTTCACTTGAGATGACGCCCCAGTGCGCACGATACTGACAGGTGTACCAGGGTCAGAAAACAAAGGACCAGGATAAGCAGCAGCAGAAGGTTCAAGCGCAAATTCCGGGAGAAGTTTGTGCAACACACGTACACGCACATCCGTCGAGTGACGAGACGACAGCGCAACATCATATCCAGTGATAAGGTCAGGGGAGCTGTGGAAGCATGTAACCATCTTGCCACCAAAACCAAAACTGATCACTGGGGCTCGCGAAGATGTACGACCCAAAGGATCGTTTGAGCCTAAGAGAGAAGGGGAGGGTGCATATGGAGGGCGAACCGTGGATGAAATAAGAAGCTCCTGACTGTACGCAGACACCGCACCGTACGGGCTTGGTTCACCGGGACGAGGCTTCGGAACCAACCCATTAACTTCGCGCTGAGGGGGGATTCCTATGGGCATGGATGCCGTGGAATGCAAAGATCCATTGGAACCTGAATGATCACGATATTCGGGCTGTACCAGAGCCACAGCATTCTTGGCAAGTGCATATGGATCAGGGGCTGGAGAGGCCTGACGCGAATTATGGAAGGGGGATGAAGTCCTCTCATACGTGGCATGCGATCTGGGCTCGTAACTGTTCGCCACAACTGGAACTGTCGAGTTGTAGGCACTCTTAACAGATCCTGCATGGCTTGTGAACGAGCGGACAGAACTAGGAGATGTTGCTCTGTTGGGCGAAGCATAGCGTGACGGCTCATATGTAGAGGGCGGATGGGGAGGACCAGGATATACATCCTGTTCACCGGAATTGAAAGCGTTGCGCAAAGGAGAGGAAACCCTCTTTACCGGACTACGCAGGGATGACACATTTGAACCATTGGATCCATCTCTGGAATGAGAAGGGGACCGCCGTAGCACTGAGCCTCGCATCATCATCGTGTCTTGGTGTTGATGCACCTTGCCTCTAGGCGGGGAAGAAGGTGGGCTGCTATGCAGCTGTGTGGAACCATTCAAACTAGCATACTCTGCAGGAAGTGGAAGCGTGTAGGGATCTCGAATGGCATGGAAAGAAGGGGATGTTGCCTCGGTATCGGTCTGCAAACTTTCCGGATCGTCCCAAGGCATATCATCAGACGTGTAGGCGCGACTCTCTGAGTGCAAGTCATGACTTGGTAGTGGATATGTCTCGGTGGCAGGAGAGATAACACGTTGGGTAACGTCCGTAAATGAGCTAGATGAACCCTGTTTAGGAGTAGGTGCTTCGTCAAGTAATTCCTGCTCATAAGAGTTTTGTGGGGGTGTCGGTGGATTCGCGTGTAGAGGAGGGGCAGCCAATGGGGATGTACGAGTGCCCGCTTGTGATAAACTATGTTGCGTGTAATGATTGCCAACAGTCGGTTGTGGAAGCTGCTGTAGAAGCTTGGGTGGCGAGGTAACACCCAAAGCGCCTGTAAGCTGACGTGTCACTTGCGCTCGTGGAGGTGGATGGGAAATTGGAGGTTGTGCCACATTACCGGAAAGGCTGCCGTACCGAGTACTATTAGAAGGGGGAGGGGGAGTAGGGGGAGTAGGGGGCACAGCGGGTACAGGGGGTACAGGAGGGATTTGCGAAGGCTGGCCATACGAGGCATACTGTCCCAATGATGGTGCGCGTGCGCTCACAGCACGCTTTGGCACCTTCGGAGGAGGAAGAGGGGGGTCATATGCATTCGACTTCTGTGGACGATAAGATGCAGCCGACATTGCAGGAGGAACTTGAGCAGGAGGAGGAGGGATGCTGGGAGAAGCTGGCTTAGGAGGTGCAGCGTACGCAGACGACGAATAAGGTTGAGAAACCGAGCGTGTCATGGGGTTATACGGCTCATATGTTGTCTGAGAGTCGGCAGGTGCAGCAAGTGGTTGTGACGCGCGAGTGGGTGCGATGTTAACGGTGGGTTTGTAATGATCGTAGCTGCCGTGTACCGGCGCATATGGTTGGCTTGGATATTGACTCCCGCCGTATTGCGAGGAATTGGCAGTTGAGTCTGGTGTGTACTGGTGATAAGCACTCGCTGTACCGCTAACATTATGACCTCCTTGCACTGCAGGGAATTAACACTGCAGATGCAGCAAATTTACACAACCGACACACCTGGTTGTTGGACATACGAGACCTGCGGTTGAGTCGTGGAGTAACCAGGCGCAGAGGACCACTCTTGAGACTGTTCGTAACCGGCAGCAGAGTATTGCGAGCTGTCAGGAACCTGGTTCACAGGAACACTGGCATCGTGGTCCACAGCAACTGACCAGGGATCTTGTTCAAAAGGCTGAATGCCCTTTGGAATGTCTTCAGCGAACAAGCTGGAAGCGTCCTGGCCCATGTCAGATGGATAAGAAGCAGACTCGTGCTGTCCATATTCATGTACCACCAACCCGGCAGGTGGTGTCGTGTCAGTCTCCTCGTTGCCAATAACCGAAAACGGATCCGGCCCAGCATCGCCATCTGAACCAAATAACGAAGCCGCAGCTTCCACAGTACTCATGTTTGCAACGTTTCCGTCAAGCAGGCCAGTAGAATTCGTGGTCTTGAGAAAAGCAGGATGCTGACGTTTCGTTGAAAGCTTTTGCGCTTGGCCAAGTGACGGTAGTGCCTACTTTAGCACTAGAACTAATATTACCTTTGTTTGTCACCGTTTACTTGGAACCTTTCCGCGGGATCATTAGTTCATCCGAGTAACATGCATGCGGTGCAAGACAGGATCCATGATGATTATAACTGGTGTGCTCAGGTATCTATACGATCGATATGTACCACGGATGGGAAAAAATGACGACAAAGATGATAGCAAAATGAAAGTTTGAATATCGACAGCAAAGAAGCAGGGAATGCAAATATCATACTGAATGAATGTAAAGAGTGTGCAATTAATAATGTTGATTGCGTGGATAATCGTGGTGTGAGTGATTGCGGAATGAGGAAAAATTGATGCGAATATACCATAGCATTGCGAGTGGAGCAAAGAGGAAATAGGGAGTGAAGCAAGAAACAATGGTCATAGAACACGCTATTAGTTAACTGGCTTGTGCAATAATGAGGGGTAGTCCGCAGGTTTATCCGAGGCCTTTGAGGCATTAATCGTGCGCTCTAGAAGACGTTCAACTATTGGGTGTTGGTCAGATAATATTTCATTTATCTCGGTTGTATTTCATCAACATACTAGAAATAAGATGCTTGCTGTAAGCGCTCGAGTATCTGCGCATGCTGACGAGCTGAGGACGGATCTTAGCAATCAGAATCTCCTTCTGATCGGGTTCTGCCACGGTCAGTGCCCGCTGAAGGACGTAGTCTACATGAACGGTCAGTAATTAGAACTTTAATGTAAGAACATAGCAACGCACTGGCAAATTGATCCTTCATCATGGACACAATTGGGCTGACACCATCGGTCTTCGGCATGATGATCTCATCGATAAGGATACGACGTTCCTCAATACCAGCGGTAACGAGAGCCTTCTCACAGACGTTTGATGCGAACTTGTGGCGAGCCATATTCAGCATTTGGCCACGAAGTTTGGTGATGACTTGATTCCGATCTTGAGGCTTGCCTTGTTCGAGCACAAATTGAACAACGTAGTTCTTCGTGACTCGTTAGCAACGGGCAAGAGTCTAACAGTGGTGAGTACACACCCCGAATTGATCCTGCATCAGATTGATCATATACTTGTGCAGTTCATCCATGAGAGGACGAGTTGTCTCTTCAGGCAGGTGCTCAAAGCATCGCTGCAATACACGACACCCATATGGATGCGTGGAGAGGTCATACACGTTACCCCTGAATGAATTGACGAAGCCCAGTCGCTCATGCGACACGCGTTCGATCAACTTTTGGATGACCTACAGATACATTAGCCTAAAGCATTTAACGTGTAAGGAGCATACTGACGTGGTTGCCGTTCGCATCCTTTACGCATTTAAGTACATGCGGATCAAGTTCCCTGACGAATGACGCTTGCTGATCTGGAAGGACAAATTCTACCGCCTAACAAATTTGAATTAGACACCGCGAGGGACTGCGAACGTGTATGCAGACCTTCTGCACAACACGGCAGCCATACATCTGTAATGACAGTGGTAGAATATGACCCTCCATCGCGTTGGCAAGAACAGTCTTTTGAACTTGCGTTCCGTGCTCAAACAGCTTTTGGATGACCTATGGAAACTATCAGATGTGATAGCAGGTAAAACGTCATGCTGTAAACATACATAGTTACCAAATACATCTTGAATGAGTTGCAAGGCATTGTCAGGGACGATCTCATCAAAGACACCTTGTTTCTCCTCCGAGGTAGCTGTCTCAAGTTTCTGTTGAATGAAGCGAGACCCGTGTTGATCACCGCTAAACTCGACAATATAGCCATAGATATCCTGAGAGTTGATCAGTTTGCTATCTGTCGCAATTGAATTGAACACACCCTAAGCTCCCACTTGCGCGCTTTGTTCGCTCTGAACTCGTCCAATAAAGGACTGCGCAAAGCTGAGCCAGCGTCATTCGCATCTTGACGCCGCCCAGGGCGTAAGTTTTGGTGATAAAATGGTATTCCATGAGCGGTATGACCATACATAGCGCCGTTGGGAATCATGAAGGGGAGCTGGGCACCATAATCAGCAGCATAACCCTGGTGGGGAGTGTATGAGATCATGGTGGGGCGCAAAGTGTTTTGAAGAGCCACCTGTTGTTGCAGTCCATACTAGGGTTGAAGGATCAGGGCCGCCCTAGATGCAATCTAAGATAAATAAATAAAACCTACCTGTTTCTTGTCGGGCATACTACCAGCGGGCGCCGCAGCGCTGAGCTGAGGAGTTGGCATCGGAGAGAGTGGAGGCATAGTTGGATACATTATTGGCTGATGCGCGGGGTAATAATATTGCGAGGGCGTTCGCGCGGAGGCTGAATAGTCGTAGTATATACTAGACTGTTGGCCAGTAGGAGCATTATGGTGTAACGGCTGTGGTGATACACCAGGGTATAGGTTTGCCGCAGGAGTGTTATTCATCCCAGCAGATGAAGGGTAGAGTGAAGGGTCCGTCGGGGTACTGTATCCATATCCATAATCCATGTAGGGGTCGCGTGTTGTGCCATTGGTATAATACGACGAATAATCTGCCTGAGGGTAACTACCATACGGGAGTCGTCCTTGAACCATTTGCGGGGGTGGTCGCACCTGCAGGACACCAGGGGAATGAGAAGCAACAGCACCGGACGGTGAAGAGGCGGATTGGTGGCGGTATTGTCCGTTGACATGATCGTCCTCGACTGCCATCCCTCTCAGACTCATAGACAATTCGTTTTCAACAACTGAAGACACCTGCAAGGAGTCAAAGCCACCATTTTGACCACCGAAGGCAGACGATCCATAGCCCGATGCATTTGAAGAAGCCGCATATCTGTTGGAGACTCCGGTTTCCTTTCCGAGAGTATTGTCGAACCTCTGCGGAGAGAACTGACCGGCCTTTGCCGAGGAGCGATCGTCCTTGAAAGATCTTTTAGCACGCCTTTGAGATTTATTAGGAACACATACAACTCTTGGGCCTGACAACGCGGCTGCTTGCGCTGCGGTTGCTTGCCTTTGCCGAGCATGATGCAGGGACAAGGGGGAATTGGTGTCCTATCAAATGTTGAACACTAAACAAACGCCGTGAAAGAATTGACTGACCAACTGCGAGAACTCCTTCTTTTGAGGGCTTCCACTCAGCTCATCCCAGGTTCCGCTAGACGGCCTTGGCGCACTCCAGCTTTCTCCCAGATTTCCTCGGTAACCGCTCTCAGCCTGGGATGGTGAGAGGTCGGTCACACTTGCAGCGGAGGATATCGAGGCATTCTTCTTTGAGGCCGGTGTCGTTGATCCCCATACCTAGATAATATCACGTAAGCAAAAGGGTCAACTTCGTAGAATGTTCCGCCCACCTGCCAACCTGAGTTGAGACCCTTGAGTCCGGAGGCCCCGGCTATTGCGACGCCAAACATGTTCGCTGTTGTGGGAGTCAGGTTCCTCTGTGACTGTGCCTGGGTAAGAATCAATCAGGTTAGAAAGCTGTAAGCATACGTTATTCGGCGAAGCTGAAGGAGAGTGCCCAGACGAGCGCGTCGATGAGCCCGATGGCTTCCGAGAAGTATCACCATGATGAGTTGACATGGCAGGCTGGAGGAGGAAAGTGATTTGCGCACTAGGTCCGGTAAGTTAAAGGGATGATGGTAGAAAACCGAGGTGGTAACTCACAGAAGAAGCAAACAACAGCGAAGAGCAGATTATAGAGTTTTAAGTGGAAGTGTGCAAACGAATTAGCTGAAAAAGGCGAGGGTAAGAGTTAGTTATGCAATGAAACACGTTTCGACCCAGTTACAAGTGAAAAACCGGAACGGAGAACGGGAGAAACGCGCCTGTATAGTGCAGAATAGTTGTCGTAAATAAGCCACGATGTGAGGCAATTGAACATGACGCGTGAATGGACGAACAAGTGCGGATCAATGACTTACCAAAGGATATACGACAGTGACTTGAAGAAACTGCCAGTAAACTAGTAGATGAAGAGGAAAGGAAGAAGACACGTCCCCCGTTCAAGTGAAGGCGCGCGTAAGACGAAAAACAGAGCGATCGGGTGCGCTCAGGGATAGATTATTTCTACCACGACTAATACTGAAGGGGTATGTATTGAGTCGGCTGGTGATTTTTGGTTCCGTTACTTCACGGTCAAATGGATCCGCTCGGCAAGTATATGCATATGCACAGCTGTAAGCTGCCACCTGTTTGACCAAAAATCTAGGGTAAATTAGCGGGTTCACGACCGAAAGTTATAATATTTAAGAATGGACCCTCATAATGGAACATTTACACACAGCCATCACAGGTCCCCGCTCATTCGCCTATTCCCGATGAAATTTTTTTGAGTAGAATTCAACGGCACCGGTCCCATTTTCTGATCCTTCTTGGCTTCCTTTGTCAATCATATCCCTGCTTCTTGCGAAAGAAGCGCCAGAATACTTCCAGATTCCGCTTACTCAACTTGCCCGGAATACTGAACTACCTACTGTCGATCGGTTCCGTGACAAGCGGACCGTGGTAACCGTACTAAAAGTACTACTGGCTTAGTCTTGTTCGATTCAATCCCCAAGCGCTCTGACACACCACAGCCCCAAAACCCTAGGGTCCACCACCTGACACAACCAAAACGTACATGCCTTATCTTGGTTATTCACTTACAACTTTAAGTCAGTCCGACAGAGAATGCATTATTAAAAACGATAAGATGATAGATGCAATGTAAAAAAAAGATACCAAACAGTCCAGGTATCAAGGCGTCTAACTCCCCCGAGGGTTGAAGAACCATGACGCACGCTTGGCTGCAAATGATCCGTTAGCATCTTAAGTGAACAGTGACCTAATTAACCCTACTAACCTCCGCTGTCGGAACCGCGAAACCAAGGTTAGACGCCAAGTGAGCAATCTGAGGCAACCACTACAATTATCAAAACTTACCTTCCATCTTCGTTCTGGATGCGAGTTAAAGCATTTCCTGGTGTCCCACCACCTGAAACTTGTGCAGGTGCAGTAGTAGGTCCAGGCGTTGCTGCAGAACCCCCGCCACCCCGCAGTGGCTTGGCAATACGCCCGAAGTTTATTGGACTCGAGGTCTTTTGGGCTACATATGCTGACGTTGAGATGGCATCAACGCAAATATGTCGTTATTCGGCTTACCCCGCGCCTGCTCCAGTCGCTCTTTAACTGATTGGAGCTGTGTTTCAAACTTCTGGTTTTGGATAGCTAGCCGACGGTCAGCGTCCTGCAGGAGAGTTTCCAAATTCTGTATCCGCTCATTTCGCGCAAGCAATTTTCTTTCAGCAATTCCGGCCTCCTTTTTCAACGCCGAGTTCTGGTCGACGAGCTGCAAGAGTAATTGAGCTCGCAAAATATGTAACTAGGGTAAGATCTGGACTCACCTGTTTCTGAACTAACGTTAATTGCTCCAAGTTCCGCTCCAGGAATGCCATCTTCTTCTGCTGCGCTTTGCTATTACTGTTCCGAATGACGTTGTTGTACTGTTCCTTGATCTCATCCAATTGGATCTCAAGCTCAACGACCTAGCACGTGCATAATAAGTAGAAAGATAAGAAAAGCTTAATGTCTCGAACAAACCTTCTCGCAACGGTTCTGCAGATCTCGTACGAGGGATTTCTTGACCCCATCGAATTCTGCCAACTGCACGTTAATTGCTTTACGGGTTCGCTCGAGGTCTTGCGCGCTCTCAGCAAGATTCTTCCCTCCCTCGATGCCCGCAGAAGTCACTGCGAACGCACGCTGCACAAAAGAGGGTTCAACTTAGCACTAGGACAAGAGTAGAAAACGTCATACCTTGAGCTCTTCGTTGACGCTCTTCAGACTGTCAATAGATGCATTGAGAGTGCGAATCTCGTTCGACTTCAACTCCAGTTGCTGCTTGAGATCGGCCACTTCGCTGATGTTTGCGTCACGTTTAGCCGCATATTGCATCTCTAGCTTGTTCTGCGTGATAGATTGTATTCAATGCACATGGTTATTCTCAACGCATGTATGGCTCACCTTGAACTCTGCCATGGACTCCACGATGTCAGCATTACTTGTCTCCTCATCATGGATGGTTTTCTCTGTCAAGGAACGCTCGTAAGGTGTGAATGCCCCAAATGTTTTCACCACTCACCAAGAAGCTCCTCATAATCAGCTTCCAGTGACAAGAACCGAGCCTCGAGCTCGTCTCTGCGACGAGTAACCATCTCATTCTCTTCTTGGCTTTGCCGGAGGCGATCGACCGTCTCGCGTACAAGTGAATGGCTTTCTGTGAGCTGCCTCCTTGCCGCAACAATATCGTCGACGCTCAATGTCGAGAGAGCGTCTGCAGTGTCGATAGTATCAAGTTTAGCAAGAAGCTGGCGAAGTTGCTCGTCTTTCTCAGAGAATGTGCCTTGCTATGAACAAGTAATAGATCAGCAGCGTGCAATTTTCAAGTAATGAAAACATACAGCATCAAATTTAGCCATCATCAACGCCATCTTCTCCTGCTTGCGCTTCTCCTTGTCCTCCGCCGATGCATCTCTCTGAGTCGAGCGCAGATCGGTAATGACTTTCTTCAGCTCCTCCAACTCACTCTTCGCATCCTGATTCTGTTCCTTCAAGATGTCTATGGTTATGATACCCTCCTTGTTGTCGTAATCCAGACGCTCGACTTGCAGGCGGAGCTCGTTTAGTTGAGTCGACATCGATTTATTCTCCTTCGAAGCTGCTGCCTCCTGCTCCTTGAGGTATGCCAACTCTTCGCGAAGTTCCTTGGTGAGCTTCTCTGCGGCATTGAGCAAGCTCTCCCTCTCTGCAAGTTGGTCACTAAGCTCGTTCTCTCTCCTGAGGAATTCTTCCCGCTCATCCTTATCTAAGCCCACAACCGTCGGTGTCTGCGGTCGACTATCGATGATCATCTCTGATCGGAGACCCTCCAATATAGGATTCACTGGAGTCATGCTTCTTGTGGTGGAAAGTGTCGGGGATGAAGTCGCTTTCTTTGCCGCAGCAGCGCCAGTAGTCGGCTTGTCAGCGGAAGTCCATTCGCTCGGTTCGACGTGGCCACCAGCACGCCAGATAGCAAGCTCTGCTTCTAATGACTGGATATATGACAGATGTCTAGTGTTTGCAAGCTGAGCTTTTGATAGAAGACCCTTCAGCTCCAACGGAGAGAGCTCCGCATTGACGCGAGCAGTGTTCTTGATTGACTTGGCTCGAATACCAAAACGGAGAGTGGAAAGCGTTTCAGACTCGTTGTATTGTGAAGGCGAGCAATTGATTATCAACGTCGTACGCGAGTTACCACCGAGAGACTCTTGCAGTATACGGGTGAGTTTCGAATCACGATACGGAATATGTTTGACCTAAGAGACACAATCATGAACTCCTGCTACAAAAAAGGGGAAGAAGTATCCCCTTGGACGCGCTCTTACGTACCTTCGAGTCTGTCAGAGCATTTATGACCATGCCGAGAGCAGAGAGCGACTTGTTGATCTTCTTCGCTTCTTCCAGAGTTTGTCCCGAAGCACCTGTCTTTCCCACTTTCTCGGATCCGGCAAGGTCGACAAGGTACAGGTTGCCACTCTTCTGAGCCCCCGTTTCGGTATTGCGTTGTTGGATCGTGATGAGAAAAATAGAATGTGACCGCGAAGATTCAGCGTTCATGTCTGCAGTTACGAGTGACTTGGAGGTCAACGCCACGACTTGGGGAGACACTTACTGGTTGAAGTGACGACTCTCGCGGCCCCTCCCTGTCTCATTATCTCGTAGACCTCACGAGCACTGCTAACGTAGTAATCCGAAAGATTCTTTACATATACGCCTCTTGATTTTTCCTCGTGTACCTGGAGGTTGTCATTTTGGGCTGAAGTACATTTTTCATCGCTGGATTCACAGAAAAGAGTTCGAGATCTTACGGGCAAGCAGATCGCGTATGCGTTCAAGGTAAATCTCCAAGTAGGAGACTTTGACAACATATTCGAGGTGAGAGTCCGATTCTACGATTGATTTGAAAATCTGTTCCGTGATGCGGGGTATAATTCCCTTGAGATCTGATGAGTCAATGTCCGCGCCCTAGGGAACAGAAATCAGGAGTGGAATTCAAGATGATATCAATTAAACGTACCATCATGGTGAATGTCTTTCCACTACCAGTCTGGCCATATGCAAAGACCGTGCCATTGTAACCATCCAAGACATCTGATTACCGTATTAGCATTAACATCCTTCCTCGAAATTATAAGACAATGTATGAAAGGCACTCGACATCACAAGATGGGGTGCCCTCTCTCACCTTTTACGATACTGCATTAGGAGGTAATCAGATGAGGCACGACAAAGACGCGTGGTTCTCGGAGCCACTCACTCTTTAACACCGTAATCGAATACTTCGTGTTGTTTCGTGCCCATCGGAAAAACTCTGTCGAACGTGAATCCATCCTTCTCTGGCCCAGAAACGGCCTGCGAGTTCTTCATCTGCACGGTCTGAAGATTCTCATCGAAGGCGACTACGATATCACCGCCCTCTCTGAGTTCGAGAGCATTTGGGGGCCGAAAACTATTCGGTCACGTCAGTAGGCGATTAAAGATACTTCGTGCATCTTCATCGAATTCCGAAGCTAGGTTAAGACGTACCGACAGACAACCTTGATATTGGTCGAGGACGCCATGATGGATGGTGCGTCTAAGGAAGAATGAAAATCTAGAGTACTTGTGTGGCCAGTAGTTGCGGTATCAACGAATGGTTAGAAATCTAGGAAATGGTTTTGGACACAGGCCCAGGTCTGGTCGTGAACCACGAAGAGCTAAATGAGAGAAAGGGCCAAAGCACGTGTTCCATTTCGAGCCAAATATTCGATCACCGTGACTATGTCTGCAGTTTAGCTACAGCTAATCAGTAGGCTTGTAAACTCAAATTTCCCCCCTTGCAACTCCTCGCAGGTCAACGACAAGAACAGGCATACAGAATATATATATACAACACGGATATTATCCGCTCAGGATCTACCCTGGAATCCCCATCTTCAGATAATTCTAGGTAAATTTGCAGATTAATTCAGGTGTGTCACAGAAGTTTAAAGGCTGAATATGCATCGATGAGGTTCTAATTTTACAGCCTGTCTTGCAATTGCTATTGTACAGTGTGAGGAAAAGATAAGATAGTTACAAGTCTCAGATCAATCATCATCACTCCCGACGGAAGGTGGTGCGGGAGCTGGTCTGCTTGATGAAGCAGCTGGTCTGCGAGTGCCATGATCTTCTTTCTGTGCAGCATCAGCAGCGTCTAGCCATTCTGAATAGATATCCACAGGCTCAGTCAAGTCTGTTGAGAAACGGGATCATAATCAAGAGGTAGGAATTGGCGTAATCCGAATGGTACGCACGGTTAACTTTGCTCTGATACCGCTGGTCGCACACTCTGCACACTAGCTGGGCGATGCCCTCTTTTCTGTCGACTCTCACTGTCACGGACTTGTCATGATGACAGAACAAGCAAGTGAAAGCAGTATCTATTAGACAATTCAAGTATGACAAGCAGAACAAAAGGCATCCAACAAACCTAATGGCTCCCTCCTCCTTGCCGCTGTGGCCGCAGCTGGTTTTCTAGAGGATTTCTTGCGTTTTCCCATGGCTGCTCAAGCGTAAGATCAACTTTGAATGGTGGACAGCGGAATAGAAATATTGTGGTTACTTCCCACGAATGCACGTGACACAGTCGCGTTGTTGATTCTTGGACGCGTTTTAGTAGGCCTTCTTCACTTAACACCGTCCTCCCGCTGCTGTCGACAACGTCCTCGATGGCTACGAGGAGACAAACCACTTCCCGCCCAAGGGCTCCTATAATAAACACAAAATCCCAATTTTCCATGTCAAAGCCTAAGCCTGCCCTGTCTACAATTATGTCACCCACAGACGAGCGCCCAGAGCACACACTTGCGATCTCATCATCCTTGAAGGGCTCTAAGTTCCATGGTCAGGACGACTCGGAGACTCACATCCACGTTGCAATTCGCTGCCGTAGACGTTCTGATCGCGAAATCCAGGAGAACTCCCCCATTATCGTCAGTTCCAACGGGGCAAAGAGTCAGGAAGTCACCATCGAGACCTCTACGCCTGTCTCTAGCCTAGGCGTTATTACCCTGGCCCCTACAAGAACATATCCATTCGATCTCGTCTTTGGCCCAGAAGCAGATCAAGCTACGATTTACCATGAGGTTGTTAGCCCCATGTTAGACGAAGTCCTCACGGGCTACAACTGTACTCTGTTTGCATATGGACAAACAGGAACTGGAAAAACGTACGTCTCCTCCCTAATTGCTCATATCATCACTGTTGATGAGTTTACAGTTACACTATGCAAGGTGACCTGACGCCCACGCCGATGGGAAATCCATCTTCCCAAGCAGGCATGATACCGAGGGTCCTTTTCCGGTTGTTCCACCAACTTGAGACATCTGCTATTGACTACAGTGTTAAGATATCCTTCGTCGAGCTTTACAACGAGGAGCTTCGAGACTTGCTCGCCAGCGAAATGTCCGCTCCTGCAGGATCCACGCAGCCTATGGGAAAAGGTGGCCCCGCCGACAATCAAGCTGGCCTCAAAATATTTGATGACGCTAGCAAGAAAGGTGTTTTTATTCAGGGTCTCGAAGAGATACCTGTCAAAGACGCTGCAGATGCACTTGCCCTCCTCACAAAAGGTAGCCATCGTCGCCAGATTGCAGCTACCAAATTCAACGACCACTCTAGTCGTTCGCACTCCGTATTCGCAATCACTATTCATACTAAGGAGACGTCCTCCATGGGAGATGACCTCCTAAAGGTTGGGAAGTTCAACCTCGTCGATCTTGCAGGCTCGGAGAACATCGGACGCTCTGGAGCAGAGAACAAGAGGGCCCGAGAAGCAGGCATGATTAACCAAAGCTTGCTGACTCTGGGCCGTGTTATAAACGCCCTCGTCGAGCGTTCGACACATGTCCCTTATCGGTAAGTGTGTTCAGTCTACGAGTTATGGAGGTATACTGACACGTTTGAATCACAGGGAGTCCAAACTCACCCGTCTCTTACAAGACTCACTTGGTGGCCGTACAAAGACGTATATCATCGCCACAATCTCTCCTGCTCGTTCCAACATGGAAGAGACCCTCTCTACGCTCGATTATGCCATCCGCGCGAAGTCCATCCGCAACAAGCCGGAGATCAACCAGCGGATGACACGAAACTCTTTGCTCAAAGAATACGTGGCCGAGATCGAACGTCTCAAGGCCGACGTCCTGGCCGCACGCGAGAAGAACGGCATCTTCTTTTCCGAAGAGACGTGGAATCAGCTCACTGTGGAACAGGAGCTCAGGCAGACAGAGATGGAGGAGGCTAAAAAGCAAGTGGAGATTGGAGAGAGCCAGTTGAGGAGCGTCAGGGAAGAATTTGAGCAAAGCATCGCTTTGTTGATGAAGACGGATGGGGAGTTGAAACAGGTGAAGGAACAACTAAAAGAAGCTGAAGGAGAGCTAGAAGTCAGGGAGGGTCAACTGAAGATAGCGAAAGGTGCTCTTGAGGAGGAGATTGTCGTGCGTCAGGCGTACCAGATCAATGAAGAAAAGCTGGATGGGGTAGCCTTGGGATTGAAGCAGGTTGCCGCGGAAAGCATCGACGACATTGGCGCACTTTTTGAGAAACTTCGTATGTATTGCTTCTTTCCCTGTTGGTCTGTCAAACTTACGATGATTGTCAGAACGGAGGAACAAGACGTTCACGTCAAACATCAAAGCTGTATCCTGTCATGGACGGTCCATCTCTTCCGAAGTGCAGTCGCTCTCGACGAAACTGGAGGACTTCATGAAGACCGCAGGGCACAGCACGCAGATGCTACGCACGGAAGCAAAACAGTTCCAGACGAAGGAATTGGAGGTCCTTGCAAGTCACTCTGAGCGTATTGACCAGCAACTCCAGCGCATTCAAGACTCCCTTCGGATCATCAACACGAAGGATGATGCCTCCACAGAGGCTCTTACAGCTATGCAGAATGCTGTCAAGGAATCGCAAGAGACCATGAAGAGTTCATTTAGTGCCTGGTCCGATAGCTTACGAACTACATCCCAAACGATGTACAAGGAGTTGTATGCTGCAAATCAAAGTAACTTCTCATCGGTAATTATTGTCTCATCCATGTAAGAATTATTTAACTGACATGACACAGTTAGAGAATGTTTTGAAGGCTATGGGGACACTCCTCGACTCCGCTGTTACTCAAGGGATCGAATTGGTCAAGGCCGATGGAGAATCAGCCTTACAGGCCAAGTCCCTTGTGGATGACATGTCAAAAGCGGAGAACACGGCACTCCAGGAGCAGAACGCACTTCTTGTTCGGATGATAGAAGCAGAGAAGGTGAAATCTGCGAAGGCCAGCGAGGCGCTCGTTCAACGCATATCAGGTCTACTTGGGGAGTTCGTAGCTTCCCGTGATCGCGAGCTGCGAGAAGCATGTAGCACTGTTGTCAGCGCCAACGCCAAACACGAAGAGGAATTCAACGAGTTTGGCCAGCGTCACGATAAATTGATGAACGAAGTGGTCGTACGTGGCTCGGAAGCCATGACCTCGTTTGAGCGGAGAGGTACAGAAGGAAAGAGGACGCGGGATGGCGCTCTCAAGGTGAGAGTCTTGGCTTATTGAGTTTGGCCTGCTGATCACAACATACTCAGACCGTCGGATCTTTGCAAGGAGCCCTCAAGGACGGTTTGTTGGCTACGCATAATTCAATCACAGCAGCCACTATAACTTATACTGGTGAACTGCAAAGACAAAGCCAGACCCTCCAAACCTCCTTTGGCACAGGTAAGTGGTCTCATTCGCCCATTCGCATTTGATTCTCATTTTCCTTGAGGTCTTGATCGTCATGACCGTGCTAAGAGAGCACGTATCGAGAGTACCAATGGCTTGACGACTGATATACAATCCGAGTTACGGTACCTCCAGCGAGGTATTACTTCCAGCTCAAGAAACGTTGAAGGCTTCAGTGGTCGTGTGGTTTCAGAGGCTAGTAGAACTGTCATTATTTATGAAGTGCTCTTACTAAACATCATTGATCTCTTTCAGAGCTCAAACTTATCGGACACAATTGAAAAGCATGGCAATAATACGACTTCGAGGCTCACCTCACTGCACCAAACAGCCCGGTCACTACTTGATCAAGGTACCCGTGAGGACATTCCGACTGGCATGACACCGCGAAAACGGGCATGGGAATACGTGGATGAGTGGGAGCTGACAGAGAGTCGGGATGCGATCCTCCAGTCGCGGAGACAAGGGGAGCCATCAAAACATGCTTCCGAACCTCCCCCTTTGCAGCACCCGCAATCTCCTGTAGAAACCGTGCCAGAGCAAATGAAAGTCGACACACCAATCAACGAGTGGTCAGACGAACCACAAGCTCCAGTCCCACCCTCACCTCCTGCAGTCTCGTTGTCATCTTTAACTTCTTCCACTGCCACGCTCACTGAAATACCCATCGCGCCTCCTGCAATTTCCAAAGTCTTAAAGAAACCTGCTACTCTGAAATCCGGACTGCCGACGATGGGGGCGTTGGTAGATAGACCGCCAAATACCCTTCGGAATCCGTCCAGACGACTCAGATAGCCACGGATCAGGCATTATATCATTATTCATTCATTATACTTGCCATGCTCCAATAGTCCACGCATTTCTACCATTGATATCACGCATTTGCTCATTATGCTACGGTAGTCCTGCAGGAGTCCGTGCAGTTCTACGTTATCCATCAAGATTCAAGATTCAATACGTACCACGAACTTCCTTTCGCCGGTACTTGCATGCTACAAGAAGGCTGCGAGACTAAAGAAGAGCAAGGCATTTCATACTTTTGCAAGGATAGCCTGTTGCGAAGCACTGCCTCAATGTCACCGCCATTGGGACATATGGATGTACTGTTATGTTGAACATCTTTTGTTATAAGGAGTGCAGATCAGTAGTAACTTAGGCCATATGTCAAGCATCGAGAAGCTCGTTGGGCTACTGTACATGTGTATGAAGGCTATAGTGTCTCCAAGGTCACCCTGATCAGGAAGACGGGCTGTGTAGATTTAAATGCTGGGGCTCTGCTGTGCGGCGCAGTGTTGGATCAGAGGTAACCGTAACTAGATCCTGGGCACATGAATCATGATGCGCGTACGCGTTTCAAGGGCATTTCGCCACGTCCGACATGTTATGGAGATACTGCACTGCCAGTGGGGGTGCGATCACTTAAAAAGTACCTCGTCGGTAGGCCCCTCCTCATCCTCAATTCAACACCCTTATCCACCGCAGCTGTACTGACCAAGCTTCATGGAAAGCCTTAAAGTCCTCGTTATCGGAGGTTCGCGAAATATAGGGTATTACTCTGCTGTCCGACTCCTTGGTAAAATAACCCCCTTTTCCTGACACCTACTACAAGTTCTGACATCCTATGCCAACAGCGCTCGGCGCTACTGTTACATTCCTCCTGCGATCACCACAAGTATTCGATCAGGATGACACAATTCAAGCCTACATTAAGGAAGGTAAAGCCCGCCTTATTCAAGGCGATGCACTCGTGAAGAGTGATGTTCGCCGGGCATGGTCCGAGGCTCAGCTTGGGGACGACACCAGACCAGTCGACTTCCTCATCTTCACAGTCGGTATGTCTGACCCATTCCAAAAATTCCAGCTAGTCAAGATTTCACTCATCCATATATCTATCAGGCGGGACACCCGGCTTTTCACTAACAAAAGGCATCATCATCACCCCACCAAACCTCGTCACCCAATCTCTCATAAACGTTCTCGAGACTCTCCCATCCCCGCACCCAAAGATTATAACAATCTCTTCTACAGGCCTCACGCAGGCCTCTCACAAATCAGTTCCCCTCCCTCTCAAACCGCTGTATAGCTACATCCTAGCCGCACCGCACAAAGACAAATGCGGCGCAGAGGAAGTCATAGCCCATAGCGCTGGGTGGGAGTGGGATGCGAGAGACAGCCCAGGCGATGACATTCTCGGTGCTGGCTGGACGAGCCGTGTCCCCAATGCTGGAGAACTTAAGAGTATCGCTGTCATCAGGCCTGCGTTGTTAACTGACGGAAAGTGTCGCGCAGACGTAGAAGGTAAAGAAGGCAAGGCATACAGAGTGAAAGAAGAGGATCTAGAGTGTGGTTATTCGGTTTCAAGGAAGGATGTGGCACATTTTCTCGTGGAGGGTATGATGAGGCATTGGCAGGAGTGGGAGGGTAAATGTGCAAGGATTGCATATTGAATATCGTCGCATTCTTACAAGCAATCCGCTCGCCCGCAGACGGCTCAGTCGTATCGTATATCGTCATCCTGCTTTGCAGCAGTAATGAAGAGTAAATTATGTTCTCCGTCTCCCTTTCTTCATTCGTGCCTGAAAACAATGCCGGAATGTTGTGACGATTCCGCACCCTGGACAGCACTGTGTACAGTTGACCGTGTGCGAATGCGTCAGTACGGAGGTCGAGTACAACGCATCAGGGAGTGAGTCCTTGGCAGCCATTGAACGTCGTCGCATATGCAGGCCGCAATGGAAATTGTTTACGGTTGACCGTCCACTTCGGTGAACTTCGCCTATCTGCGGAATGTGCACTTCGACGAATTGTCGGTGCAGAGCAGTGATGCGCACGCGCGCCATGATGTCGCACTGACCCCTGATATATTTCGTTGCACTACGCATATCGCGTTCATTTTCAGGTCAAGGCGATACGGAGGTATATTTGAATTGGTGAGCATCGCGAAGTAATTAGGAGTTTGTTCAGAGATAATAAAAGGATGACGGACATTAACACAGTATACTTACTAGTTTGCATCACTTGAAGTCATCAAGCGAGCGTTGATGAAATAAATGCCAGCATCAGACAGCGCAGTTCTACCACAGAAAGTGAGAACGGATCACTTCTGATTGAACCTCTGTCTAAAGGAAAGGCATGAATCCATCCATTTTCCAGAACCGAGAGCGTAGGGAGTCGCATTCATGATTCAAGCAAAGAAGCCCGCCATGATATCGCGATTACGTCAGCACCACGGGTAAGAACTTCTGCTACGCTTGCAAGCTTCCCTCCAACACCCTCATTAACATTGTTGTCCTTATATTCAAGATGTCAGCGGGGCTCAAGAGTGCGTGTTATTATCACTGACGAGTATGAGATGTGGTGGCTGATTCACGTGTAGCTGTAATATTGCTATCATTCGTGCTCGCCGTTGGATTCCTGTTAATCATACTCTCATGTGCACTATGGGTGAATTGGTTGCCATTGTTAGTTGGTGCGTATGACATGCGTGTGTCGTTTGCTGGTATTCTTATCCAGGTATTCTCAGCGTTGACGTTCGTGCTTGCTCCTCTGCCCAATGCCCTGTTTGCCCACTGCGGAGGAGACGAATTTTCCTCAAGTGACAACGCCACGGGTGCTGTGGATCTCGGCCGCTTCCTTACTTCAATCATTGTTGTCACTGGATTTGCGCTCCCCGTCGTTCTCACCCATTCCGAGGTTCTGAAACCAGGCGCTTGTGCAATGTCCATCATCGGTGGAGGGTACGTTCTTTTCGATTTCACCATTCTCAGGGCTCACTGTTTCCTGTGTAGACTGGTGTATGGAACTATATTGGCATATTCAGCAGCGTTCAGACAGGATGATGAATATGACTGAGTGTTTGTACGTCTACACCTGAATGTTGCACTATGTGGATATATCTATATCATTAACCTCGAATGCCAACAAGGATTCAAATGGACGTCATCTTTGCTATGGTAGGGATATACGACTACACTATTATGTTGGAAGTGTAAACCATGACACATTCTTACTCCGGTTCGAGAATGATATTGCTACCCTTTTTAACCGTCTCCACCATGCGTAACACAAGCTCGATCTTTGGCCACAGATTTTGATACATATCATCATTCTCGTCATTTAACATCTTGGAGACCTCGTCCTTCATCTCCCGCAGGAGAGGCTCAATGGCCTTGATAGAACTGGAAAGAATATGGTCTTCGAGCTCTTCCATGAGATATTCGTGGGTTGGAATAACTGGTTGTGGAGGTGGTGGTGGAGCTTGTGAGATGTAGGCCTGCAGAGCTGCTGCTAAAGCCTCTACTTGTTCGTTATTTTGCTGTACCACTTTGGCGTCAGCCTCTGCCGAGGACTTGAGCTTGAATGCACACTAGTCAGCCAGACTTTCACCAGTCTAGAGTCACTCCTTACCTTGATGATCTCAGTTTTGAGCTGCTCGTTTTCCTGTCTTAACCGCGTAGCTTCGTCGTCGGTACATTTGCTCTGCATCATCAAGTTCGCAACCTCCTGCGCCACTTCTCCCAGCTGTTGGCCGGTTATATGGATAATGTCCAGGGCCTTGGCAGTCTCAGCCTGCACCACAGCAGTTACAGCTGCTGACGAAGGTTTCATTTCATCTTCATCCGGGAATATCTCCACCTCTTCCAGCCGAGCGTCGATGCGAGATTCAATCTCATCCCCCACGATCGTGTTGCGCTGCAAAATGTCATTCTGAAGGTCGAGTAGCTGGCTATCAACATTGCTCAAGCGGGCTTGAATGCCATCCAAGGCACTGAGTGAGAAGGTGACTTCACCAGAGCCAGCTGTGGCGTCCTCTCCCTCTAATCTCCGCTTCTTTAGTGGGGGTTCACCTGACCTGGAGGCGGTGGCAGGGTGCTTTAACCTGAGGAGTGCAGAGAAAGATGTACTGAGCTCGCTGACTGAATCTTTCAGTTCTGTTATTTGTTGCTTCATGCCGGAAAACTTGGCTTCCACGCTCTGCAAATCAGGTGGCTTGAGAGCTGGCCAGAATTCTGATGCAGCGAGTTTTTGGATGCTATCGGAAATCTCGTTCTTCTTCGTCTGGCACCGCAATTCCGTCTGAGCTCTAGCACGAGCGTTCGACACGTTGGTCATGCGCGAGGACTCGCCCAGCTTATTCAGTTTCAAGTCTGCCTCTGCATAGCTCAACTGTTCGCGCGCCTTTACAGATGCGAAAAGTAGACTGAGGAAATTGATTAGTTCGCAAGTCAATAACTGTAACACAAAGAAAGACACACTCCACTCTTTCATTCCAGACTTTGCGTAGATCATCTCCTGATAATGCTTGAAACTTTTCGGGCGGCTTTCCTGATATGTCTAGAGAAAGGAAGGATGGTGGTACAGGAACAGGAGGTAGTGGATCCGTTGGCGGAGTCCCTTGAGGAGGCTGCGGTAGGTGCGAGGGTGGTGGTGGTGGTGGTGGCATGACGGTCTTTGTGATGGACATTTGGCGCCGCGGGGATAATCGTCTCGGTGAGCAAGCTCGGTCGCCGCGCCTCCCGCGATCATCCAAAGGGGGAGTACGACGTCTGGAGAAAGACGACGACGAACCTGCTATGCTCATGCCCCGGTGATAGCCGCCGTCCCTTCGTAGTTTTTCGAGTTTGTCAGACTCAGCCACTGATGTGGCGGGTGAACGTGATCCTTTGTCGTTCCTACTGTCCTGCCGATGTGCTCGAGGACTTCTGGACGGGCTAGTGGGTGGAGGGCGGTCGGAGCGAAATTCTGACAACACGGAAGAACCACTTGGTCTCCTATGTTTGCTGCCCAACTCGTAGCAAAATTCGTTATCGTTGTCAAGAACCTCGTGTGCCGGAGGAGGAAAGGACGGTTTAGCCGTGTCCCATTCTCTTTCTGTCGGATGCACAAAGAAACAATCACTGTCATTCCTCCAACAGCCAGTCGACCCCCCTCTGGCCCGCCTTGGTTTCTTATTGTCATCCCAGAGCTATGGGTAAATGTAGTAAGTTCTCCAGGCAGAATTAAATCAACTTTTTTGGGCGTTTTCCGCCAACACGCACGTTACAGCGCCTTATTTTTGCAGGACGTGGCTTCATAGTCGGTTCAATGCAACAGTAGTTTTAGAGCGTTGGAGGCAGTGAACTACAACGATGAAGCATACAAGCCGGAGCCTTTGACCGACACACCGACTGGAGTACAGAAAGTTTACTTATTAAGGGAAGTAACGGAGTAATCCAAGAGTAATGTCGACTAGTGTAGGCTGAACAGGTAAGATGGATGTTTACAAGCAAGTAGATAACGAATGGACGGATGGCTTGACGAGGTACGCATCAGGATGCAGGGAGTTCTAACCTTGTCGCCCATCGGTTGACAGCTTCGGCGATCCTTAAGCTGGGCTCAATTTTATCCCAGATTATCTCAAACACCTCCTTATGAAAGTGCTGGTTATCTTTCCAGCAATCGTCGCGCAATCTATTTATCGTAGGAACGACTTCGCGCGATACAATACCATGCAGCACATCATCAACTGCTGCACGAAGGTTGTCGAACATGACTTTGACTGGGGGTTCGGCAGGGGGTGCAGGAGCGCGTTGTGATTCAGAAGCTGCTTCGAGTGAAACCTTGAGACGCTGAATGGCTTCGGTTTGTTCTTGGATCAGTTTCTGATTAGCAGCGGACGTCTCGGTGAGCTAAAGGAGTGAGATACAATGAGATATGTCAGACATAACTGCCAAATGATCTACCTTGACTATCAAATTTCTGAGTTCTTCGTTCTCAGTTTTGAAAGAAGCCTGTGTTTTCTGTATGTCGTTTTGACGAATGAGTAAATTTGCGACGTCATTGACAGGCGCTTCCATAGCCGCGCTCAGTTCCGCCGCCTTACGAGAAACATCTTCTATAGCGCCCGTCGCCTCGGGTGGTATGACAACCTTCGGTGGAGGCAGCTTAGCGCGTTGGGCCTTGGCCTCCGCTCGATCTTTACGCAAGAGATCTATCTTCTTGTCAATTGTGTTGTTGATAGTAGCAAGAGGATCATTGGAAGACTCGAGCGTCAGCACTGTTCGCAGTTCCTCGAGTTGCTCCTCTTGTTTGTCCAGACGAGATCGCAAGGGATCCAGACTGTCTGGAATAGCTGGTGGTTCTTCAGGTGATTCAACTTCATGAGGAGTAGGATGATTAGTATCTTTGGGCTGTTCGGTGGTGTTGGCAATGAGTAGTGGGCGGATATCTGATAACCAAGCCCCGACTTCATTTGAGTAGCGCGCCACCTCGTTTCCAATATCGTAACGTTGTTCATAGTCTATGCCAGATTTCAGCTTGTCTCCAACCTCCGCAAGTTCACTGATCGCCTGCGATAGTTTATCGTAGTGACCAGCACAAACTTTCTCAAGCTCTGTCCGATGTCCATCCAGGCGAATGCGGCCAGCTTCGCCGATGCGGGAATAGTTAGTAGACTTCTGTGCCCTTCTCCAGTTTTGACGTTCTGCCTCTGCCTTCGCGAGATCTACTTTTGCTCGAACGGCGCGGTCGCACAATCTGCATTATTGATTCAATGAAGTGCTTGACATGGATGTGCAACTTCACGCACCTGATAAAATCCTTCCATATATCCTGCTTCCTCTCGAGGTCCGCGTTTCCATATTTCCTCTTGCGAGTGATAGCTGGTCCTGTCACTGTCGATAGGGAAGGCGACCTGTCACGAACTTTCTCTTGTATCACATCCTGCCTCCAACCATCCACGTCCATTCGGTCGTCCTCAGAGCGGTTGGCGGACACTGAAGCTTGTGGCTCTCGGGGAGTCGCGTTGTTTAATGCGCTCGTCTGGAGCGGCGGAAGGCGAGATCGCTCAGAAGACTCCACATGCGGGGGCACTGTCGTGTCCGCTTTCTTGATCCATCTTGTATTGACCATTGGGACATCATTCGTCCCGGTCATCTTGGGACGCGTTTCTTCCTCGTCGTCCTGTACTCGCGAGCCACGTCGTGGAGGCCGCGGTGGTGCAGGAACAGGTGATGGTTTAAATCTGTGATTCTCTTGGTCGGCATCATTACGTTTCGGCTGTGCAACCGACGTCATTTCAGTCGTTCCCGACGCGCCCCATCTACCAGAGGATTTGGCGCCACCCGCAGGACTGCCCCACCCGCCACCGGGAGTATCACCCCATGTGCTTGTAGAAGTGTCCATTGCATTTGAGCTGCCAGGTTTCTCCTGTGCGCGCAGCGTCGTGTCTGTCGTGTCTGCCGCGCCCCATACACCAGAAGAGATGTCGCCACCGGGAGTATTACCCCATCCGCCTCCAGATTGATCTTTTGTTCCGGAGTTGCCGCCCCATGTGTCATTACCACCCCATGTGTCATTATCACCCCATCCACCTGCAGGAGATTTTTTTGCTCCTGAGTCTGAGACCGTGCCCCATGCGTCACCAGTGTCCCACAGAGATGCAGTGGCAATATTGGCTTCTTTAGCAGTATCTGAAGTGCATGATACGTTAGATATGCCACATGAAGGTGCCCGGTCTACCTTTTGTACTTGTACTTGTTATCGCCCAGCCCGAGTTCGGTTTCTGTGCATTATTGTCAGGTCCTCCTCCAGTATCCCATCCCGATGCCGAAAATGAACTAGATTGATTAACAGGTCCAGATCCACGCCCTCTTCCACGACTAAACGACCCTCTCGATTCTCCCTGAAAGAACATGGAAAGGTCAGTCAAAACGACCATCACAAGCATACCAAAAAGTCCACCCACAAATCCACCTCTGCCCATTCCGCGACCTCTCGGAGCATTCCGACTTGGGGCTGTAGTATCCCAAGCGGGGTTTCCAGGATGAACAAATTTGCATCGATCTCCCGAATAACAACCTCCATTGCGTTCAGTGCCATTTTCATCGAAGTACTAAATTGTTACTATAAGTAAAAACCCGCGCATTGACAGGACAGCTCAGGGGAGATGGGACGCTACGGAGGAAGTGGCACTTTGATTAACTCACCATACAGCGTGTCTGAGCCATCGCTGAAATTGGCTCGGCTCACAAAAGCCCCTGATGACAGGCGCGGGCAATTGCTAGTTGATGATGCGGTAAACACTAAGGATGGTTGGAGAGATATCGATCTATGATAACGCGATATGTAGATGGCGACCCTTCAGGAGTTTCCACCTGAAATTTATCAGTTGGTCTAAGCACAAAGGGTATAAAACACAAAGAACTGAAGCTTGACGAGGTTTCAGAAAATTTCCCACAGTAATAGAAAGTATGCACAGCGAAAACCCGCCGCTAAATTGTATATTTCCAAGAGCAGGGGACACAAGTAGTCAAAAGTTCGTAGCTTAACCTATACTATACTACACTCAAGAAAGCAACGCGTATCCCATCGTAATGTCATAGGCCGTCTCAATCTGTACGTATCAAACGCAGTCTCCATGAACCGTCAGTTGTCGTGTCGTGTGTAAAGGGAGATGCCAAAGCTGAAGTAGAATGAAGTTATAGGAAACTACGCAGCGATGAAGAAGAAAAAAGGAATAAAGATGAAGCAGATGGTCAAACGAATAATAAAAAGAGCAACTAGGTCCATTTACCACAACCAGCCACGTGAATTTGGTGGCGGTCGCCGGTTCGGCCGGGCATTGCGGCGAAGTGTGACTTCTCTCACATCATCATCCTCATACTCTTCCACCTCGTACTCTTCTACCTCTTCAGCCCGCAAGGGCTCACGAATGAAATCTTCTTCAACAGTGATGGCGGTGGTTCTGGGAATTTGAGTGGTGTAGCTCGATGAAAAGACTTCAGGTGTAGGGAATGCAGCAAAACGGGTATTGGCGGGTGGGGGAACCGTGACAGTCGAGGCAGGTAAAGTTTCATATTGAATAATAGTTTTTGTTTCAGTTTCTGCGATTACCATGGGAGGAAGCTCCTGCGGAACAAAAAAAACAGTCAGCAACACTGTTCTGTCGCGGCAACGAGAGATCCAGTTGGTGGCATGGAAAATAACTGCGAAATTAAATCAAGATACGGCCGTTAGCCGTCACGTGTAGCGTGTTTCGATCGCGTCGCATCCAAAAGCAGCCATCACCACCAACTGGTCTCCACTTTACCGCACGATGACAAGGGGGACGAGATGAAACCGTTGTCCCCCAAGCCCGGACGAAGGAGGAGATACAGACTATTACACAAGATGGAGTAGAAAGATTTTCCGAGTTTATTGATTGGCATAAATAAACGGAAAATCCTCCTTCGTCTCAGAGCTCGGGACGGCGCGGGACGATTGGTGGTACCTTGAGTTTCCGCTTGCTAACAGCAGGCTCATAGAACACTTCTTCCTCGAGGGAGGCTCCATCGTTGTTGATAAGACTGTACAAACAGCCCCGGTGAGTAATTCGATCACAACTGATCGGAATGAAGAAACATACACAAGCTGTTCCATTATCCAAGCCTCGCGTCTCGAAGCATCATGCTCTCTTCTGTTGACACTCTCCTCGCGGCGGGTAATCTCGCGTTCTCGGTCGCCAATTCTGAGCTCGCGATCTAGAATCTCCTCAGCACGGGAATTGGCCTCTTTCCACCACCCTGGGGGTGCAAGGTCTGCCTCCTTTACGACTTCTTTGATAATGGTCTGTGCGGGTGCGAAGTCTACAACGGTGGCGGTAGGGCAGACAGGGCAAACGATTGGGGACTGCTGAGCTGGAAGCACACCACCAGGCGCGCCGACGAGAAGTTCTGCTTCGCGACGCGCCACTTCAGCTTCACGTCCAGCAACAGAGCTCTCGCGAGCTACAAGCGCTTGTGATCGTTTGGGAGTGAGATAACCCCAGAGTCCAGATGCCGCAGGGTCCTCTGCTCCTGCTGCTGCCTTTGCACTTGCACTGCTAGATGCGGGTAGTGAAAGCATGACTGCGAGGACTGCAAGAACTAGGGAAAGAACGAGTAAAAGGGTTGTTGAAGATATGGTTCGGTGATGGTGGTGTCGCTCTGAGCGGTGACGGTGCTCTCGTTCCCGCTCGCGGTCACGTTCGGCACGCTCATGATGGGATGAAGAAGGGTTTGCCATCCTTGTTGCACCGTTTCGTACGCTAATTGAGCTTGAAGGCGAAACGGTGGTATGCGTTGGTGCGCGCAGGTTGGACGTCTTGAAAAAAAGGTGGGTAAATTCAAAAAGGGTTGTCGTCTAAATGACAACGGCGATCAGAATATGGAAGTATGGTTGAAGAACAAGTTTGATATTGGAGTTTGGGGGGCAACGCAAGTACGGATGGAAGGAAGGAAAGAAACGAGTTGAAAATTGAACCAAATGTTCGATTTGCCTTTTGCGCTCATCCCTTTATTTGCACAACCACTTGCGGAACCAAACAACAACCATCAGCCTTTTGTTCATAACATACACAATAACAAATTTGTTACGTAAATTCATCTGGATGAACGCTGGCCGAATTCGCATGTATAGGTGCAGTATTACCGGTCTTTAAGTTACTGGTCCGTATTATCGCACGTGATCTTGATACCTTGCTCGACACTATAACTGTCCAGCAATCCCCCCATGGACTGATACAACACTGGGAGGGGAAAAAAGGGTCGGTAGAAACAACCGAACGTTTTCGAGTTATTTAAAAAAACAGAAGCAATGGGTGTTCTTTGAATTATTGAATTCTCGCGACATGCCCGCGGCGGGCTTTAGTGGGTGCTGATATCCGAGCCAGCTCATACCATAGAAGCAGACAGTGTCTTCTCCATGGTGTGAATCGCCTCGTAAGCGTTCCATTAACAGCGAAAGTGAACATTTGCACAGCACAAACATCGAATCATCATGTAGCAATGCGTCTAGCAAAACGGACAGGGCTGAATATTACAACTAATGCGCACCCGATGTATATACTTGCAACATCGAACACCCTGTATGCTTCTCGGGAGCCTAGCAAGAATGACACACAGGCGACAATGAGGTATCCCCAGTGAAGGTATGATCCCCCACTACGATCGAAATTAATGAATTTCAATCTCGATCGCAACAAACAACACTCACTTTTGATGCAATGATAAAGCTCTTTTTCTGCGACTTGCAAACTCAACAAGCACAAGGAACGGTGCAACCTTGAAAACATTGTGATCGCCGTTGAAAGGGGCAGTATACCCAGCAGTCATCAGGGTTCGCACCCAAACCGCGAGCACAGGCATTGACAAAGGCAGAAGCCAAGTTATCAGTAACAGGAGATGCGTGTTCTCATGGTATGTTTGGGTAGCATTTAGAGTATCGGTAACAGTAGCCAAATTCCGAACCCGGCATGCATCCTGAATGTCAGGCTCTTCGGAGGACTTTATTTCTTTGGGTCCAGTGCCCTTTGTGTCATCCTCGCGGCCGTCAAGGCGCTCGCGCAGAGGAAGCGATTCGATGGGTGTGCTCCGGAGAGAAGGCACAGAGCCAGGGTAAGGCTTTCGATGTGCTGAACTCGCACATGTGTGTAAGTGAATCAACCAGCATCCCATAAATGCAATTTGCCATGGGACCACCACGAACACCAGCAAACAGATGAAAATCAGAGAGACGACAGTGCTTCGCGGCATGCTCAGTTCATCGTATCGTCTACTCCTGCAGAGCGAAATGTTTCAGGAAGTCTGTCCCCTTGGCTGATAATAACTCACTTTGGTGGCAGCAACCGGGTGAGGAATCTCAAGGGCCACATGAGGAGTAAAATGAGCCACCAGCTGACACATACTAGACCTGTGGCAACAACCAGCAGGACTGGCGCAAGAAATGCGAGATATGGCTCCCCTCGAGTTCCTAAGTAGTAGTCAGGGCTCAAGGGCAATAGGGCTACAACGAAGGATGCAGCAAGCAGTTTGGGCAGGAGGTGACAGATGAAGGCGATCAACGATTGTGACACATTCGGCATTGAACCCTTCCCGCTCTCGCGCCATGCGTGGAACATCAGCAGCGCAACCACACCTACAGCCCAGCTTATCAGGGTGGTAGGATACCTCGTAGCAATCCTCCCGATTGTCGCCCACCAGTCGATAGTCAAAGTAAATTCGTTGATATCTTCGCAGCCAGTGCTGACCGCGTATATCCAGAGCTCTGAGCTATAGGATGGGGAAAACCGTGAGAGGGGTATGTATGGCGCTGATGCGTGTGTATGGAGAGTTGCTGATGTCTTATGTTCCAGGCGATGATAGTGAGTTTCTGCTAGATGAGACTTGTGCACCAAAAGCGGGGGAAGTAATGACAGGGAATCTACGTCGGACAAATCATCAGTAATATCTTTGATCGCTGAAGCACCATTGACATACGTGCACAAGACGTCGTGGGACGCACTGATTCTGGAGTGAGTGTGTATACCACGAGCGCGTTCGAGAGTAACTTCGGAAATGTAATGTGCCTTCGCACCAAACTCCGCTCGGTAGGTTGCAGCGAGAGCTTTGCACCACCAGCAACAATGTCTATCTTGCGAGTAAATAAGAGCGTGAAACGAAAAGAATGTGAAAACAAACCAAAGACGCCAATATCACTTTGAAAAGTTCGAGTCTCGTCAAATCCTCCGAAAACCGAACCATCTTCACCGGCAGCGTCAACATGAACACCGATCCAAGCCTCATCCACACCACTAGGTATACGTGGTACCGTGGCCTCGAAAAGGACGACGCCCTCGCTCTCGTCAGACCCTTCATCTGGTACTGGAAAAGGCTTTCCTGGAATAGGACTTGGCAAAAGTTTCAGAGTACTGGGCTCGAGCGGTACACACGACACAGACTCTGTAGATTGTTGTGTTGTCGGCGATGTCGCACGTCCAACACAAAAGAAAGGTGCTGTCTGAAGTTTGGTCGAATGCTGGGGTGCGATGGGTGATATGCTACCTCGCGATACCAACAAGACAAATGTAGCGTTCGTTTCAAGAGCACGCGGTATAGGGAGGAGGTATGTCCGAGATCCAGTAGGTTTCCTCATGACCAGATTCATACCCTCGGGGAGAGCCTCGTAAGTCGCTACCTCGGGGATATCTATACCTGCTACGGGAGGAAAGAGACGGCCATCTCTACTAAGCCAGGTGTCCATGATGCCTCCAATGTCTATATCGGAATGTGCTTCTCCAAGCTCAAGGGCAGCACGAGCAACCCGCCATCGCACCTGATGACACCACACCATTTCGCGATGACCAACCCCAGTCCATGCACCCTCTAGTGCAGATGTAAAGACTGTACGACGATATATATCATGTTCAGGACCGGGATCTGGCAGAATGCAGGACTCAGAGGGAATCATCATGTCTGTGGCCCCTCCACATATCGATACGACGGGCGTCGAGTCATTCACCAAAGTTCCAGCGTTTCGTTGATATATCTCATCTACACGTGCGTCAAAGCGTGCGGGGGGTAGCGTGTGGGGAGTGGACATGGTTATCAATGCAGATATATCGTCAGATGGGAGAAGAGCTGTCCCTACGACGCCCCCCATCGAATGACCCATGACGATAATTCGGGTATTAGGGGGATAATGCGAAAGGATGTAACGTACCGCCGCAGCGGAGTATTCGATCTGTGACTCAATAGTAGGTCCGTGGAACGCCGAAAGGTCTTCGTTGAATTCCACTGCAAAAAGAATACACGTCAGCGAGCTGTTGACGTGTGGTAGATTGAAATTGAACCGACCAGCAAAAAAGTCCAGCGACTGAATTCCACGACCCGTAAAGTCGCTGGAGATGACAAAAGGAGACGAAAAATATTGTCTTGTAGCAGAGGACGCGATGGACCGGACTTGGTGCGACGAGCCAGCGTTTCCGGGGATGAACAGAACTGGTACACCCATGACCTTTATCAGTAGCGGGGTTCAGAGACAGTTCTGGAGCATTAGTTACTGGATTGCAGTTAATGGACTGGTCACTAGACACACACCTGGTTGGGATCCCATCCCACCTCGCGGTATAACCAGAGTGAATACCTGTGTGCTAATGGCGTCCATGAGGAGTTGAACTCGTGTTGCAGGAGGTAAGATGGAGACATCCATGACATCCGACATCCTTGTGGAGAAACTGTCAGACGGACATCATTTGCTGCGTGGTAGCAGATATATATGAGAGTTAGTGAGAATAACCCCAAACTGGCCGTGAATATGCTGGTCATAGTCGATGGCAGCATAAGTGCATGCCTAATTTTCGCCTTCGAGATGAGTCTTTAGAGCTCCCGTCTTTCAGAAAGAGTGACTCTGTCTTTCGTAAGGGTATAATATTTACTCCATGGCTCAAGAGCGCTCACACCACGAATTTGTTATACATAAGGTTTCAGCCAAGCTTCAACACGTAGTTTCCAGTCACTGTTCACATCTTATTGGATTTAAATCAAGACCAATGCACAAATGAATGGAGCTCGATGATAGACGAGCTTATGGGTGTCGGAATTGTGAGTAACGTAGATGAATAATATGCGAGTGGTTTGGTACGAGCTGGGGACAAGCTGGTAGTACGAATAAAATACACAGGTCAATATGTATATCAGGTCTCGGGCACTAATTGATAGGTCCAGAATATTAGGGTGAATGTACTGATGATAGTCCAATCTACATGCAGGTATACTTTCTCATGGATGACTTGACTCTAGCTATTTCCAACATGATGATCTGGGATCGCTAGTCTTCCCAGATGTTTATCATCTCAGATTGATGCGTCATGACAGCGACGTCTTTCTTCACAATATTCATTCGCGGATAGACGAACTAAGATAAGGATCATGTTAGCGGGAGACGTCCTACCAAAGACCCGACAATAACTCACCCCTTCGTTATATTCATGCATGACTTCAGCTGCAAGAATAGCACGATCCTTCACAAGACCCTCATAAGCCTGTATGAGAAGGCTAGTTTGCACGCCCACGGCACCCATCACAGCAGTCATAAGCATCCAATTCGTAGGACCCGTAGACATCCATATAAGAGCATGGACAGGAGAATATACGCTAAGAAGCACACGCTCAAGCTCCCCTGGAGTCCAGACCTCAAGCTGTTGAATCTGATCTGCAGGTGCACCTCGGGCGGGTGAAGATGATGAAGGCGTGGGAGTGGAAATGCCAAGCAGGAATTTCCAGAAGGAGATGAAACATGTCCATAGGAAAATGATAACGACTTTTATCACACGCAGGATGCGTGTTTGGAAGGAGGCCATCTGGGAAGGCTCGTCGGAAGAAAGGGGTCGGACACGTGCAGGAGAGGTTACAAACGTGGTGTGTGGCGAGGACACGGGGTCCGCCTTGGTTCGACGATGAAGGCGATACGTTTTACTTTGCGTAAAAAGGTGCATTGCATTCAACGTCGAGGCAACCAAGAGAACGCCTGTCATTGGAACGGTCTGCGAGAGATCTGTAAGAACAGGTAAGATTCAGTGTCGAGCGTAGCTTACCCAGTCAAACCAGCTTTGTTGGCTACGTTCCCAATACAAGTCTTCCCAGCCGATGTCCGAGTCAGCCGTGGCACGTATCTGAGATACACGCAGACAAAAGTGCAGCAGGTGCATACTAGACCCGATGAGCCATCCGGTCGTTCTCGGAGCCGGCATGGGTACGTTGTGAGGAAATAGTGAGATCTCGAACATAATCTGTGAAGGGAACGCTGTGATTCTGTGCGATAACGGGTGCATTTAAGTCGTCAATTAACTATGCACAAACACTCGAAACAATCACTGACCTCTCAAATATGCCTTTCTTTTTCACAACCTTCTTTGGCAGTGGCCTGAGCCCATCTGGGATGGTACTGGTGCGAGATTTACGCTTTGCGCTGAGAGGTGAAGCGTAAGGCGGTGGTCTCCTTGACCGCGCGGCATCCCAGTCGAATGGCGTGGAGGAAGATATGGAAGGAGTAGAAGATGGAGAATGAACATATGACACGCGTGGGCGGGGTGTGACTGGAGTATAAGTTGCACCATTCAACCTAGGCGACGAAGGAAGTGGTGATCCTGGAGTATTTGCTGCATTGTTGGCCTGTGCAAATCGGCGCAGGCTCATCTTCGATTTTGGACAAAGTACGAGTGAAAAGAAATATGAGAAGTGAAACTGCGTGCTTTCAAGGAGGCGCGTCACACGTAACGCGTCGGTCACGCGACATGAAATTAGTCGCCAAGTTGCCAACTATGTAGTTCATGTAATCGTTGTCCTACTTGTAAAGATGGTCTTGAAGACGTTATACATGTTCAACGTGAGGCCTTGAGGGATCGATGACTTATGCTCGATTGAAGACAGCAGGCAGTCTAATTTATAGCAATAAGGGCACTACATAGCAATATTCCGCTCGTAGGCATACATCTAGAGCGTGATTCATATCTAGGACTTCAGGGGGCATTCCGGAAACTGTTGCAGGAGACATATCCCCTAAATGCTGACTTGTACAACTCTGTTTGACGACAAGAATGAGGAAACGATGGAATAACAATTGTGAAGAGATTCACTGTACCCTTTCCGAAATCAAATTAGCGCAAGATTGAAACACAAAGGACAAATTACTTGCTTGCCTGATCCACCAGTCATCAAATCATGCCAAAATGAATCATCTCCAAGTGTAATAGGAAATGGATATATACGTGCTCCTGAGATCATTGTCCAAGCCATAATCTCACCATCGCTTCAACCTCCCAAGCAGCTGTCTTGACGCCAGCCGCATCATCTACCCATAATTTGAACCAGAAACTAGCACAGCAGATTCCGAGAGCTGTTCCTGCCGCAACCTGCGGCCATGTATGATGGCCCAACTGAACCCGTGACAGGACTATCATGAATGTCCATGGTAAGATGACCACTGGAACGAATATAATGGAACTGGGAAAGGTAGGGTGAACGGGTAGCTGGAGGCAGGCCATCGTAATATATGCGGCGAAGAAGGTGCAGGCGGATGCATGTGAGCTAGGCATCCTGCAAGAGCGCGTTGACGATGCAATTAGACTATATGGGTCGTCGCAGAAACTGGAATTCACCCATAGGTCACTTTGCGTCCGGAGTCCTTCAATGGTCGTTCCTGTCGTATTGCCTTCTTTATGGACTTGGCAAGCGCTGAACATAAGACTGCGCCGGTCACGAAATATACGACGCCCGCCGAGCGGGTATGGATAATGGCTGCAGTAGTCAAGGTGCACACGATTATGGGCGTCTGTAGAAATTGAATTCAGCACTTGCTCTTGGTCGAGACATGGGGAGCATACTTGATTGAGGAACTTGAGCCACAGCGATAGCTCTGTGCCCATAGCTATAGGAACGATGGTGGTAAGAACTGCGAAAGCCTCTTCGTCGGTTCATCACGCTCTGTTATAATGCCGTTAGCGCCAAATGGCACCACAATGATCCGTTAATTTGGAGAGCCGACTGCATTTATTGGAACATAAGTCTATGATCTGTTTGCTAAGGGCCATAGGTAGTCAAAAGACCACAAAGTAACCGACGGAGCAAAGAGACAAAGAACTCCTTAAAAAAGGAACCCCCGACGACACAAGCTGGTAGTGCAGTGGCAAGGTCATCATGTCCCTCGAGTTGCAAGCAGAGCTCGTGAGAACAAGGGCGGCAAAAATTTGATAACCAAAGAATGAGGGCGGTGCCCTCATAATAGTGGTTAAACTATTAAGAACAGATACTACACTTGATCTAAGCCAAAAGGCCAGAGTGGTAAGGATTCATCTCGTTCACAGCTCCCTTTTATATCTTCTTGAATAGCGCACGGACCAGTGCTACTAAATCGAGAAATACGATAAACATCTAATTTAGGTATGGACTTCTGAATTCAACAAGGCCAAATAAACGGCCGTTATTAGAACGGAGATCAGTCCATACCCTCGAAATAAGATTATCTACGAGATACGCCATGATGTCGGTTATAAACTGATTGTAAACCCACGATTGTCAACCATCCTAGCAATCATGTCCACGCCCAAGGCCTAAGCTCCGAAACTTGGCATGATAACAAGATTTGCACCCCTAGCACGATAACGAGTTCATGAAAACGTCTACTTGCACAGTAAAAAATCAAAAAATTATCGATAATAATACAAAGCCTGATTGAGTACTTCATGGTGCCCGCCACTTCGTGCCACCCTGGTCTCTACAAGATACTCCATCGTCTTCGTGCGATAGAAGGTTGAACGTTGAGCTCCTCATAAACCATCACCTCGCGAAGGGATATGGCAAAAAGTCACCGGCGCCAAACACCGAGAGCGCTTAATCCCCACTCAGCAGAAGACTCGTCACTCAACAGCGTTGCGCCGTTCCTTGGCCCCCTATTTGGTACCAGCGCCCGTTACGCCCACCACAAGTCCCTTCAACCACCCATTCTCCCTACGCAGTCCTTCGCACTCCCGTTCCAGCTCTACAACACGTTCTTCAAGCTCTTTTGCCCGTCGCTCAAGCGCCGCTTCCCGTTCCTTCTTCTTCAATCTGAACCGTGCGCTAGCGGCGGTGTTGCGGCGGCGCTTGTCTTCAGCAGCGGATACTGGACTGGGGTAATCACCTTGGGTCTCTTCCCCAGTAGGCGAAGCCGGGGATGCAGGGTCGAATGACTCTGTAGCTGAACTTTTCAAAGTACGAGCCCGCTTAGTAGCGGACTCTGAGGTAGGCTGGGCATGTACAACGGGAGGAGGAGGGGGAACAGAGTAAGTTCCACCTTGAGCAGTATGCATAGCAAGCAATTGCGCAAGCGATGGGACTGCCGCGTTCTCCGCGGGTGAGGGTGCCAATTGTGGGAGTGAGAACGGGTCTATCCCAAATCCAGCCAACAGCGCATTCAGATCAAGCTGTGGTGCTTGGGCTCCGGACTGGGGAGTGATGGTAGTGCTGGCAGGGTGCACAACGTTTTCATGGCCATCATGAGTAGGCAGGCCTAAAGGAGAAGCGGGAGTGTCATCTTCCGAATCATCCACCGACTTTCTCTTTCCCTTGTTACGAGCGACAGGCTCCTCAGCCTCGAAAGCAAGATTTGTCCACAGGTCAAGGTGGGCTGAGAAGTCGGGGAAAGGTGGGGATGCTAGTAGGTCATGAGCATCCTGTTGTGCAGGAGTATGAACAAGATTAAGTCCTTGCAAATTTAACGGAGGCATGAATGAGTCGAAATGGCGTGAGCTATGCGTCTGATTATGGCGATGCGTGTAAGGCGACGATGGGGTTGTGATTGAAAAATAGACTGATAAGATTTCTGGTACTTATTGCGTGCTCACTAAGCTGTCGTCGACAGGAACTGACTAATAATTGGGACAAGTTAGGTTCTGACAAGGCAGTGACAGCACAATATTTGCTTGTGATTTCAGGAACCATCTGATCCACCGGCGCCGATATCCGATTCAGTCCAAGTGCTGAACAGTGTCATGAAATATTGCCAATATGAAATACTCGAGTCTTGTCGAGGGTCCTTGTCCTCCCACTGGCTCAACCACACCAGAAAGCGACAGCGCGTGCTATCGCGCAACCATCGCGTCACTTCACATTCGAGCTCTCGTTACATTCGAACACCGAAGACCCTGAGGATTATGAGTAAACATTTCATAAGAATTCACCAAGCATTCCATTTTCGGCTTTAATACTAGAGACCTGTAAGTCAGCACTCTCGATAGAAGACCGGGCCTGCGATAAAAAACCCAATATTATCGAGCTGTGACTTACAATTTCAGTTCAAGTCTCAACACAAAAACCACGCAGTGATTGGATACAATTAATTCCATTGGACATGGCAGGCAGTACATATCACTGGTTGCTAATCTTGATTAGGCCTTCACACTGGCATAGAATTTCGTAAGATCCTGCACATCGTCCCGACTCCCGAGGAACACAGAGCACCGCTCATGTATGCTCGTTGGCACAATGTCGAGGATACGCATGGTGCCCGTAGTTGCGACTCCACCGGCCTTGCATAATGCGGTAAGTAATGAACCAATCAGAGTTTATCTGAAACACTTACTTGTTCGGTCAAAAAGGCCATGGGGAATGCCTCGTATAGTAATCGCAACTTTCCAGATTTGCTCTTCTTATCGTCAGGGTATCCGAAAATCCCTCCATATAACAGCGTCCTATGCACATCTGCGACCATGGACCCAATGTACCGAGCGGAGTAAGGAGAACCAGTCTTCGGATACTTGATCGAGTTCAGGTAGTTGGTCACAGGAGGATAAAAATACATCGAGTTTCCTTCGTTGAAGGAGTAAATTTTACCACGAGCAGGTATTTTGATCTTGGGAAGATAAGATTAGGAACGTTATGGGTGCGAAATAGGAGGCCGTGTCTTACATCAGGGTGAGTGAGGATAAACTCTCCTAGAGCGGCGTCCAGGGTGTACCCGTTAACACCAGACCCAGTGGAGAGAACCAAGTTCGCCGAGGAACCATACCTAAATGGATGTAAGAATATTTGAAAAGGCAGTCAAATAGACGACTAACATCGTGTATCCTGCAGCAACCATCTCACTCCCTGGTCTGAGCACATCTCCAATAGTTCCATCAGAGTCCGGTCTCTGCAAAAGCTGATCAGAGCAATGGCGATACCCTCGTGAAAGAAACGCACCACAGGGTAAATGCCGAAGATAGTCCCGATGTTGACACCAGCATCGATGTTGCTACTACCGTCAAGCGGATCAAAGACTACACAGTACTTTCCCCTGTTCTTCTCCTCAATGATGATGGCATTGTCAAGCTCCTCCGAGACCAAGACTGCGGTCTTTCCAGACGCCCGCAGGGCGTTGACCATGATGTCGTTAGCCAGAACATCGAGCTTTTTCTGCTCCTCGCCTTGGACGTTGGTCTCGCCAGCAAGGCCGACACTGAAGATGATATTAGGGGTGCTAGTGCGGATGTAGTTAAATGGCATACAGGTTGATGAGCCGGGCTTTTCGCACATTGGTCGCGATGAACTTGCTAGTCACCTGGATAGCGATGAGCAAGAGGGTGAGATCTCCCGTGGCAGCTGCTCCCAGCCGCAGCTGGTCGTCCATCACATGTCTGCGAGGCGCATCAATGTCTAGCTTCGCACCGGATCATATCCGCGCTCACCTGCTCAAGGTGATCAGGTCCGTGCTAGGAGCTTGTTCTGAGACCGACGCCATTATAGTTCTAGGTTGGGTGTTGTAAAGTGCGAGCAAGGAAACATGGAAATGTTTCACAATACTTAAGCGCTATATCTTATATCTGCCTGTCTGTTGTGCGGATGGAAACGGGCAGCACTAATAAGTACTTTGATGGTGGATTCGCTTCCCAGTGAACGTTGTCAAGATTCAGCAAATTGTTCTCACAGTATCCGGTACCTACTACCCCAAACGTGAATGAATTCCCTGTGATTATACAGCAAATACGTAAAAGCAGAATATCAATACATACACGAGCCGGCCGACAGGAGCTTGATCATCGTTTCCTCTTGATTCCTACCAAAGAAACCGGTTCCTTACCCTTGCGTGTCCGTAGTGGGATAGGAAAAGTGTCACTGTCCTCATCGTTGTCTTCCACGCCTACAAAACCCTTCCCACTGTCGTCACTACCACTGCCTCTGATCCCGCTCGTATTAGGCACGATGATCTCAGGTCTCCTGATCTCATGCCCAGAGCACCAGCCATCATCATCGTCAACCCCCTCTTCTTCCTCCATTTCATCTTCGTCCTCGTCTAGCGCGCGCGAAGATGCCTGGGCAATTGCAGCGGCGATCTCTGCACTGATACTTGCCACTCTGGCTTCAAGCGGCTCACCCGGTACACTAGCCTCCAGGGGCCTGGTTGCGACGCCACCAGTCTGCGAGAATAGCGCGGAAATAGTGCGCACTGATTCTTCCAACTCGAGATCCCCTGTTGTCTCAGAGACTTTTTGTTTTTTGGCTTTAAAATTATATTTTCTGTGCTATCCAATCATTATCTGTGAATACAACATTAAGCTTGGATACCCACATGTTAGGATCTGGTTCCCATGTTGGATCGTGAGTTCGCATATGTTGAGTGAGCGTTGTGCGACGTGTAAACGTTTTCTCGCACTCTGGATCTTCACATTTGTAAGGTCGTTTTCCTGTGTGCGTTCGCCGGTGCCGTGCGAGACTGCTTGAGTCCCCGAAGGTCTTTCCACACCCTGGATATTCGCAAGAATGCGGTTTCTCGCCTGTATGTACCCGTTGATGAACGTGTAATGCAGACCGCTACGTGCCCGGAAAGTTTTAAGATACTGCGTGTAATCTGATAAATAATACAAACCTGAATGAATGTCTTCCCACATCCGCCATGGTTACAAACGAACGGTCGTTCGCCAGTGTGGATCCGCATGTGCCTCGCGAGATCGCTCCTCCGGGTGAATGTCTTGCGACACAGTGGCTCTTCACAGGCGTGTATGTTTATTGCTTTCTCCTTCTCGACATTTTGCTCTTTATCTTTTTCTTTGTCCCTCCCCTTCTTTGACTTCTTATTTTCGGGAGACTTCTTTGGTGCTGTCGATGTAGAGGCAATGGGTTGCGGAGTGGGGCGCGATGGGCCGGGTAGAGGTTGGCTAGAACGCACGGGTGACTGAGCAGGTGTGGTACGAGAACGAGATATTGGGGAAGTACTTTCAGTCGACGGTACCTGGAGGTGTCCGTGAGTGGGATCCGATTCTGTTTCGGTGTCAAAGTGTGATGAAAGATGATTCAATATGTCACTGATATCATTGAACTCTCCAGGAACGCCTTCGTGGGCGTCTGGTACATCCGTCCGAGTTTTGTGTTGTGGTGAACATGCAGTATCACTCCCATTTCGGTCGTCATTATGGTCGTCATTCCTTATCTCTTGTGTGGGGTAAAGGAGGTCCAAATCCCGAGGCCCCAAGTCTCGAGGACCGTCCACAATATAGTCATCGGCATCGCCAGCCGTTAGAGAGTGGAACGCGGGGGCGGTACGCGTCGTACGTAGACTATGTTCAAGCTCCGCATCGTGGAGCTTTAAAGACTCAGCATGGCGCTCATTGGACGAAGCGTGTGCATGTGCTGCTTGCAGCATGGCAGTGATACTGCGAAGATTAAGACCAAGACCAGAAATAGCATCGCCAGCATTTGTAGTATCGCTGACTTTCTGTGAGTCATCTGGAGCGGAATCCGGAATGGAGGGATCGTGGTCTTGCTCGTTCTGCGCCTGACGTTGCTGTGCGGCAGCACTCAGGAGTGCAGCAGATGCAGCGGTCGCATTCTGGTGAAGGAGACTGGCGATTTCGCGCTCCAGCATTTCAACTGAGAAGTGTTCCGGAGATACAGACGGGTCGAGGGAAAGGGGCACGCCATCGTGTGGCGAATGTCCATGGTGTGATGAATCGGAGAATGAGGAAGGGGCGTTCACGTCGACCTCATCTCCACTATGGATCTGTTCTTCATCTGAGCCCAAAGGTTCATCATGTACTACATCTGAGAGGTCGAGCACCGGTTCATTTTCATCATGGTCCATACTGTAAATTGTGAAGCGCCTCCCGCACGGGGTGTAGACCTAGTGCGAAACAGGTCAAAGTGCGATTCCTGTCGAGGACACTGAACCTAAACAAATAGATCTAACAATTCCATTACTTACCGAGATATATACACGTCGCGCTCACCGATGAGCACAGTACGGATGGTCGAGGTTGCCGTTGAAGCTTTGAAGCCCAATAACGGACGGTGCTTGAACACGATGTTGTGACGCTTGTTTAGGTAACGGCATCATTCACGTGGTCGTTTCCTTTTTCGGAGATTGCGGCGGCCAGCAACACCAAGTGGCACTCGCTAAGTCATCGGCTGTGCCTCACTCTTCCTCCCTTTCATGAACTCCGGCCACGGCGAGCCATCATGCCTGCAAAGACTAACAAACCGGCGAGACCAAAGGTCAAACGGTATCATGTGTACGCCGTCATACTCTTCGTTATGGGGACGCTCTTTCCCCCACTAGGTGTGTATTTGTGATCTTGTCATGAGGAATGCTATCGTGGAACCAGAGTGCTAAACCGCCATTTGAATGCAGCTGTAGCAGCAAGATTCGGTATCGGGAAGGACTTCTGGCTCAATCTCTTACTCACGATTTGTGGATACATTCCAGGTATGCGCTGTAATCACAACAGTTATAATTGCATTTAATTAACTTCCTTGTCCCAGGACACGTGCACAATTTTTACATACAGGTAATAGGAGCACTAGCTGCATTATTTTGTGGATCAAAGTGCTGACGTGTTTTGAATTTGCAGAATATCAGGAATAACAAGAATCACCGCCGCACACCCAAGTGGGTTCAGCGCTATGGCCTTGTCGACACTTCAACCATCAAGCGTCATGAACAGCGCTCCCAGTGGGCAGGGAGATACAACGACCGTAATCCGAACTCTGCTCTAGATGAGCAGCCTCTAGAGGAAGGCCAAGTTGCGTCAAGCCGTTCAACAACACAGGATTCCTCCACCAAGCCAGCTAATGGCAGTGCTCTCTGGAAGCCCGATGACGAATCATTCTACAACCCTGAACGTGAAGGTAGCATGCGTTCAGCAGAATCAGGGAGTTCTCGTTGGCATTACCCAGCCAACTTCAACGATACATTGCCTGGTGCAGGAAACGCTCCAGCGCGAAAGAAGAAAAAGAAGAAAGATAGGTGGGCGAGAACAGAGGATGCATATAACGCTCCCGAGCAGAAGAAACGAAAGAAGAAGTCAAGGAATCGCTCTACAACTGATGATGGCGGTGATCTAGAGTCGACCTACTCACGCAGAGCAGGATCAAGTGTTGATTTGGAGGTGCCAGAAGATGCAGCCGGTGGCACATATGGGAGACAAGTTGAAGGCAGTGGGCATGTAACGGCGGAGAATGACGATACTGCCGCATTGCAGGGCGAGAACGATGTATTCAACCACGAGTTCTGATGACACGCCCTCCATATATCCTACATCATTTTTCCACGTTAGCTTCCATTTATCTATTGTATGCAGTGTCTTTCAAAGATCGTTACACATCTGAAGTGGAGCCAACTGTCACGCAGTCCCTCACATATTATACGTGAAAAATTATATATTCAGTGCTTTCCTTTCTGGATATCACCTTGCTCCGGAAAGTTACTTAAGTGGGTCCAGCATCAACAGCAGGAATAGCCATCATACGGCTATGTTGTACCATATGGACACGGCGGAGAACATTCTGCTCCAGTGGGCAATTACGAGTACCGGGCCCGGTAGTGCCTGCACACTCCACAGTTCCGAAACCAATCCATAGCCTGTGAGCTTGCAGGGAGTCGCCGCCACGAGTCTCATAGCAAAGGAGGAAATAGGCGAGCTGATAATGTGATTTTCTCCCCGTTGATTCAAAATTAGTTTCTGCTCTAAAATCTGCATTAAGCGGGCACCAACACTGCCAGAGCATGAACATGTCAAGAAAATCGAAAACAAAACACACTCGCCTATATTCATTATCAGGCCAATTTAATGATATATCAAGGAATTTGTTACACTTCCCAGTCCGTCGCTAGACATAGGGATCCGAGGTCGGGCACGAATACTGTAACTATCAGAGAGAACACGGAGGCCCGTGGCTGTCCCACGGAAAAAGCGGGTGAGCCGTTCATCGACTTCCTCGTCCAAATCTTGATGATCTGGAGTGAAAAGCTCCTCGAAACGGTCTTGCTTATGCCTGGATACAGCTAATGTATTAATGTACTGACCGGAACAGAATGCAGAGTGAAAATATCCCTATAATCCTGCTTCCGTCGCTGTGCACGGGGCATATTGATTGCCGTTGAACGTTTGAACGTTGAACGACATATTGATGCGGAACTGATAACGTGTGCCAGCGCCAGGGGTGTGGTTACGAAAAAGGAGCCGTGAACCAGTCGGTAATCAGTACTCAGTGTACTGTCGTAACTGGCTCGGAACCCAAGTGAACGTAAGCACTGTACAAGTGTACATACTATCTTGGGTAAAACACCACCAACGTCACGTGATGTATTTAGTGAGGGAGGACAATGGAGAAAAGCGAATCTCGCAATATGTTTTCGACGATCTCGTTGGGCTCAAATGTTGCAGCGCGTAAAAGCTGAAGAAGGGTACATATGCTGAGTATATAAATGCTTTATAATAATTGAGTAGACGGTCACACTGTTGTCACATGGCGTGATGCTAGTGTTTCTAGTCTTTACATCATGTTATACACACTCACCTGCAGTCTGACATCTGGGTTACTCATATGAGTCCAGAATATAGTGTTTTTTATTCGCCTCGCGCACGAACAAGCTGCTGAGGGAATACCGCCTATCACGGAGCAAGGTGAAATTCAGCTGGGCCGCACCCTAGTCTAAATGTAGTGCAGCCTTGTTTAACCTCTCCACCGCTTCTTCGAGCCTCCGACTCTTATTTTAGCTTACGGCGCGTCCTCCGAGGGATCGAGAATAGAGCTTTTAAAACTACTGTGGGTCCTCGCGTGCTCATGAGGTTGATAAAAAAAAACAGAGAAAATCAAAACATCCCACGGAGCCAACCATTTTGGCACAGAACACTGGTCTAGTTACTACAAAGAGGACAGGGGTAGAAGTCAATACAACGAGGTATGCGTCACCGGCCTCGATTAATCCAGTTTAATTGGTTTACACAAGGGTAAGCAGTCTTTCAGATCCCAGACCTATTCATTCCTTCCCATATCTTTATCTTGTCCCTTTCCCCTGCAGCCCTTCCCTCGTGGAATTCTGCATGACGAAAATACCGCTGCCAGGTAATCTTCATTGCCACCTCCTTTTTAGTGGAGATATTGCGGTGGTTGTCTAGCAAGACGTTTCAAAATGGCTCCTGCCTTTCCTCATTCGAGTTTATCGTCTCGCGAGTTTGCGCACCCACCCTGTCTCTCGTTACACTCAGTGGCGTCATATGATACGTACTTGATATTTTGGAGTTGTGTGTCTCCCGAATTCATGAGGTCGTTCTGCCTCTCGCGGCCGGGTCCCTGCGTTGCCGGCTATATCCTCGTTCTTTGCGTGTGAGACTAGTAAGCGAAGGTAATTGGATCTTCGCATGGTTCTATAGATACCTTGTCGCAGAGCATCCCCGTTCTAATCTAGATTATCTAAACTTTCCATGTAGTACTACTCCATAAACTTTTTATCCGCAGTCTACTAGGTTCCTATATTTTTCAGACAAATTTGAGTAGTTTAAGCGATTTTACATGCAGTACTTTTGATATTGATGAGACTGAAATATTCCAAACACTTTGATTTAGGGAGGGGGAATTAGAAACCAGGGAAGAATAATGCTACGTGATTAGGTTCAAAAATAAATTCAGGAATACTACAATTGGGTAGCCAACTTTGGCTCTGCACAGCGGGATTGGTATAAGGATCCTACCAGGATTGATTGACGCGGTAGTGGCCAAATCCGGTCAAGCATCAACAACGTTAAATATAGCGTGAAACCAGGGGTTGGGTCGATCAACGTTCAACCCTGGTGAGTCCGTGACGTATTTTCTCAGCAACTTGTTCGTACTCATTGAAGGCGAGTAAACGCCGCATAAACTTGTATGAAACAATGCATCTGAATGTTATAGAGGATGTAATATTGTGTGAAGGTACAACCTAGTTTGGGACAACTCATACGCAAACAATGATGTGATTATGTAAGCTCATATCATGAACTCTTCGCGTGCCTGATGATGATCCTGTACATTTTAATGTATGTCTCGGGAAACAACAAGGTGGTAGTTCGCTACACATGTTGCTCGGTTCGGACGTCGTCGGTAAAACATAGTGATGTATTGGCCTCCTCGGTCCGCTAAATTGTGGTACCACGATGCTATGAATAAATCGATTGAATGATGCCGAGTACGTTGTAGCGGGCTGCCCTGTGCTGTGTGATAATGCCGTGTCTGCATGAGGTCAAGAGCCTCCGAGCCGGGCCTGAGTGTGGTGTTGAGTGTTTCCAATAATTGGTGACCGCTGAGTTTCGCTTGTTATCTCTTTGAATTTGAACTCTGTCCCGTCGCGTTGAGCTCAACTAACCTCCGAGGGACCGAACATAGAGCTTTTAAAAACCCACTGTGTAAAAGTCCTTAGCGTATTATTAGGTTGATGCAAAACTAGGTGCAGAAAATCCACGAAGCTAAGCATCTTAGCGCCGAAAGTACGACATTCATTTATATCGTGAGACAGCGGTGTTGTCGCTAAGCGCTGAATTTCTATAAAAAAAAATCGCACTGACGGTCCCATTATAATTGAACTCAAACATTCGCGTTGAACCGAACAAGATTCTCGGTGTTGTGTATACCGGTGTTTGCGGACTTTGAGTGGATGTACGGCAAGGTAACTCATCCGGAATTTGACTACAGCTGTTCGCTATTTCGTACAACAAAGATTTCACTGGCATCCGGTGAGTCTTCGAGGTCCTTTCATTTAACATTAGGCTTTTGATGGTCTGAATGCGAGGCGGAGGCAGCGAGAGACTGCAGGAAATCGGTATGGGTGTAGTCGGCAGGCAGGCTCGGGTCAGTCATGCTTGGGCGGCGAGATCGGGGGGCCAGTCTGTCAGATCAACCTGACACGGAGATATCGTGGAAAGCTCAACCGGACTGGTAGTCGCCAGAAGACTTGCGTAACAGCTATTGTCGAGCGGTGCTGGAGGTCTTGACCTCTGTCTGATGTAACTGAGGTACGTTAACATTCTCCAATTTTGGAGTCTCTCGGAATGATAAAAGGCCACCTACAGGGCTTCGACTCCATCATACACCCTCCCAGCGGACTTGCGAACTCGGAGAACCTACCTTCGACGAGAATGTCTACGCCCACGATTTCAACCTTCATCACCTCTGTGGTCCTACAGCCCATCATAGTGGCGATCACCAGTGCTGTTCTTTCATCCCTCCTATCCTACGAGATCGCTGGACGGCTTGACTGGAGGCCGGTAAGCCCTTTGTTTGTGGATTCCACAGTCTTTCTGATCACATAGTGTAAAAGATCACCGTATGCGTGACATGCGACATTCTTGCTGTCGCCGTCGACCACCTGAAGGATCAAGAAGTTGCCATCAGCGCTCGGGGTGCGGCTGTAATGAAGCGCTTTGCCCCCATGTTCCATCTTGCCCGTATTTTTCTGGGGTTGAATGTGTTGCTGCTTGTGGTAGCTTTCTGGAGAAGTCCACCAAAAATGACGCTCATCGCCGTAGCTTTTGCTGCCCCCGCTTTTCTGTGGGCGACGCCACTTCACTTTTCGCGGATCGGCACAGTACTGAACAGATTCTTGCTGGCAAATGATGAAGAAGGAGAAGTTGAATATGATTCACCCAAAGATCCATTCATAATCAAACGAGTTCCTGGTATGAAGGCTATATTTGACGGTATTATTCGAGGGTATGTGCTGTCACATCCTGTCGGTTTATGAGTTTTTGACTCGAAGACAGCTGTGGAATGTTCTTCGTCGTCAACTCAGCACTGCAGTTATCATGGCAATCGACATATAATGCACCTCCATGGATGATCATGGAGACTGTCATTTGGTCGACGGTCAATCGCACTTGTCATTGTGTAAGACAATTTCTTTCTTGTCAAGTACTCCCGACTGAAGGATTTCCAAAGATTATGACAGACGTGCGTGACTATGACGAGGACGTGAAGACTGGAGTCCCGACCATACCCGTCCTTCTAGGGTCTGCTCTTAAGACTCGGATGGTCTTAAGTGTCGTTCAAGCAGCCGTTATGATAGCCTTCCTCCGGAATCCATTCATTGTGGCGAGTTCTTCCTTCGCGATCGCTCTTGTTTGGATTCTAGGGAAAGATTCTCCGAAAGTTTACTTCCGTCTCAGTCTCCACTCACAGACGATATTCATTGTTCTGTACGCTGTTATGCTTGCTTTTGACTTGCTCTAGACCACTATTGTACATTTTAGATTTGAACGATCCTTAGAAAATGTAGCCTTCACTCACGACTAGTCAATATATATTCATCAATTGTGCAAATATCCGTTTGTCAGTTTGTATCTCCGCTTCTCTTCCGTAGTGTACGAATTTATATATAACCGACATTGACAACGAGAGCACTTCTGAATGGCGGGCGCTTAGCACTTAGCGCTCAACCAGTTTGCTCGGAGCTAGCGTGTCGAGCCACAGTCGGCCTCGCTGAACCCAGGGCTCAGCAAGGCTGACCGTAGCTCGACACAACGTTTTTTCAGAAAAGCTCCCAATGTTTTTCTTTCCCTTTACCAAGTGTACTCTTTCTTATCTCCGTCTTCTTGCTAACATTGTGTTTAATTAAATTCGTAAACCTCTCCTGAGTCCTGTGTGTATGCAGTGCACTTGCGTTAGTTTGGAATTCTACCTGGAAGCGGGGTACAATTGTGGGGCTATATAGAACAAAGACGTCGACCTTCATGCAGTGTCACCAACACGCGGTTTCTCTTCTCCGCTTACCACACAGCGCCCAGACTATACTCTAGCGAGCTTCGACGCGCCTTCTGTACCTTGCTGCCTTTCGGATTTTCTTTTCCCCACCCGCCATGCCCTGAATTCCTTGGCAGCTTATACAATTTTCTACCATACTGTTCCTTAGCTACATAGCCACATTCTTACTGTTGGGGCCCGCCGGGTGGTTGGCATGGGTCTGAGGCACCCACCCGCTCTCGCAGCTCATTTCGGGTCGGGTCGGGTCGGGTTCATCAGGATACAGGCTACAGCCCACCGAGGCTTCCGCCCAAAAAATGTGTATGTCAGTTATTGCAATCGGGTATACGTTTTTTTTCGGTTTCGCTGCTTACACACCTGCCCACAAAATCCTGTCTGATACCTTTGGCCTGAGGGCTGCGGGACAGCTGGCCATGGGTGATTTTTCACGAGGCCCCTCTGTTGTTACGCGATCGCCGATCTGCCATCCAGTATCCCCCCTTTTTTTTGACCTGAAACATCCTGCAGATAAGCCGGGTAATTGTGACCGGCACCGATTTATGCCTACTAGTGTGTGGGATCTACTAGCGCATTTTGTTACTTTCGATTACATTTATAGTGTGGATTGGACCACCTGACTGTAAAAGAAAACGTGTAGATCGTGCATGGAATATATAGATGAACCATACATTTTTTCTGTAACCCCCCGCCCGAAAGCCATGTCAGGATCACCAATGTGGACCACAACGTACACGCATGTATGTATATGAGATGCTAACCGGTTTGCCTAGTATTCAAGATGGTGGAATTTCCGTTACGGGCTTGAGGGAATACATATTCTTCTTCTATGTACATTCAAGGTAAATAGAATATCCGAGGTATCAACTGGAAGCCAGTTATAATTGTGATTGAGACCCACTGTCTCGATCAGCTTCTCCACTCTCCTTGTCCTTCCCCTTTTCTTTCTCCGGGCCCGCCCCGTCATCTAGGTATAGATAGTTCTGCTTTATATAGTCAATAACAGCAGCTGGGATGAGATACCGGACCGAAAGACCACGACGAAAGAACAACCGAACTTTCGTCGAGGAAACATCGTTCTGAACCAGCTGGGGGATAGGATAGATATTGTTCCGCCAGCGCGCCAAACTGTCTGTCGCCTGATCCATACTGGACCCTGTGCGTTCAATGACAAACGTGCCATAGCGTCCGAGTATGCGATCGAGCTAGGAATCCGCTCATCAGCTTGGAGCACATGCGCAATGCATGTAACTGACATCATTATGAGACCAAACCCCTGGCTCAGACATGGTGCTTATCAGGTCCGATCCAGCAAGAAGCATGATCCGAACATCACGATGTTCACCATCACGGGTAAATACGCCACCGAGAATCGTATTGATCTCGTAATTGAAGTGGTCGAGGACGACAGCCGTGCGTTGATAATTTTGGAATGCCTCCCACGAGTCGACCATTAGTCCTGAAGACTCTTGCTCTGTAGCAAGCGTGCACATATTGACCCTATCTCGCGTATCGACATGAGTTTAAAGATAAGATTACGCAGCTCAAAGGCCGCACATACCGGTGATGGGCTCGAACCAGTCCTGGCTTCTCGTATTCCTCACTAACAGGACTGAGATATCCGCCAACAATCTCAAAATTAGTGTTCTGCCGAACGAAGTCATTTGCCATCTCGAACATTCGGAGATGGTGATATGTGATGGGGTTGAAGGAACCACATGCTACAAGGACAATTGGTTGCTTGTCAGAGGCATGTAGAATTCGATGAAGACGATGAGAGGTAAACGTATAGTTTGGAGGATTTACAAAGGTGGAGCTGCTTTGGGCGGCCATCGTGGTTGTGAAATGAACTAGTTTAGGCCGCCATTTCAATCATTATTCCGAGTCGCTCAGTCACAGAAATAACATGTGCTGCGTCACCCCACGACATCAAGCTTTACCCTTTCTGGAAGTCGCTCTCACGCATTGCCTTTAGTCATCCTTGAGTCATAATCCCGCCATTCTGTTCCGAACGTCCCGTGATTCCCCCTCAGGCAGCTGGCATGCACAGTTCCCGAATGTCTCCTGACCGCAGTACGCTGGCCTCTTGGTACTCCCAACCCTTAAGTTGATGCTATGCAAGACAACTTGGTTCCGAGGACTGACTTTCTGCTATTCGGTAACCAATTCGCTGCAAGACAACTTGGCTCCGAGGACTGACTTTCTGCTACTCGGTAAACAATCTATTGCCGTCAATATCATAACCATGGACAAATCCCGTGTTGGCCGTCCTCGCACAATCCTCGGTACAATGCAAGCTGGCTTAAAATCATGAACGTACGATGTCTATTACTTTCTGAGCTTGAACACGTCACCACCATTGGCAGGTGAGTTTGCTGGCAATTTGCTGGTACACGCAAGCCTAAGAAGGCTAACACACAGCTCCCGCCCACGTGTGACAAGCCACGTTCACAGGTGGAGGATAGGAGCGGACTATGATTACGCCTCAGAATGATTCATGACCATTGCAATTCTCTCTTTGCCCTCGATTTTCATTGCAGCCTGGTAAAATATTTGTGAACGAGGTCGCGATCACACACTCCCGCGTTCTCGATTTTGATGCCCCACATAATGAAGTACACGCATATCCCTTGTTTTATTCTATACGGAGTACCATCCAGTGTATCTTCGACTGGTGCATGTTCCAGGTTTACCGTCCGCTCTCTTCTTTCACAGCAAGTCTTGCTTTCGATACAGCTCTTGCGCACATGTCGCTATGTCCGTTTTATTTGATGGCATAGGCATTTGCAGGATCCGTATCGACGCGCATATCGACACCGTGACCACGTATTCTCGTGCGGATTTGAAAGTTTGCTGTACAAACACTTTAGCGTGTCCTGTCGCTTCCTCTCTTATTGCGCAGCTGCTCCGAGTCGCCGAGTTATTTCTCTGTGGAGTGACGAATCGATCCTTCTCTCGCGGTTAAATGAGGAGCTTAATCAGTTTTCTTTTCCGAAAGCAACGTTGAGGAGAATCTGACCGCTCTAGCTGCTCCATTACCCGTGCTACTGTTGATTTGAAACTATGTGTGCATCCAAGCTGTTATGCGTCATTTCGCCCATCTAGTGAGGCTATGTTGTTAACTTTCCTGTTTTTCGGACCAGCATCTGCTGGATCGTTTATTTGTTCAACTCCCGGCTGGTTACCCCAGTAAACATGGCAAGTTGCTCGCTGCAGAGATGGATCACATATAGTATCCCCATGAAAACATCCCATCTCAGTCCACGCGCGGTTTGGCTCACTGTCATTACACACTTCACAGTTTACATTACTATCAAAAGTCATGCAATAGCCTTGCTCACCTTGTCCAGTGTCCACCAGCATACTCTTGCGTTTGTCTTCCACTGGCTCCAAGTTGGCTTGTGTGACAAATACTGGAATTGTAGCCAAGAATGGCAGTATACCTAGATGTAAACTGTCAATCATATCCTTTGATAGGCGAGTCAGGGATTAATGGCGCTTACCCCGCTACTCACGCCTCAATTTCCCCGTTCTACACCCTGCATGTGGCGCCAGTGGTTAGACAAATGCAGCCCACTGCTTCGAGTCGCTTTCGTTATGATTTGAATCATCATATCAATCTTTTTTCTGTTGCCGAGAATATCATCATGATGGGTCCTGCGAAACGAACTTGAATGTTGCTGGGTAACAAGATTTCGGTCCCCACGCAGCGTGTTCACTTCCCACTGCTAGTAGACACTAGCTGCAATCGTCGCTGTCGAAGATGAGGGCATTCGTACCACTGGCAGGTGGATTGCTTGCCTCACTCTCCAGTGCTCAGGTGCTTGTCGATTTCCAAGTCGCTGAACCGCCTCCAGTTCCGAACAGCGGGCAACAATGCACGATGTTGATTCTGGAGTGAGAAAACCATTTTGAAGCATTTCGAACTCTAACAACTATTACTTCCTAGGCGTACATTTGGGAACTCATACGGAGAGTTAGTATACGAGTAGTGAAAATTTTAAGTTGAGCTGACCTTCCATTTCAGTCCAGAGATCGTCGAGTACAGGTGGGTCTGCTTGTGTTTTTTCACGTCGAATCTCATCTGACTCCGTACAGTCCGCCGACCGATTGTGGGGCAGTCGGTTCCTGGGCAGCAGTAACACTCAACTTTACAGTGACATCAAACGGGACTCAGTATGACCGCCTTGGAATTTTCACGTTCCAAAACACGGAAAGTATGTTTTTCATGGCCATGCATTGCGTGACGAGGACTGATATTGAACGTCGTAGTTTGGCGCACCTCAACTCCGGAGCCGACTACAGACGGTATCATCTGGACTTACACGAAAGATGTTACTCGCTACATTCCCTTGTTCGACAAGCCTGGAACTTTCATTCTCGAGCTTGACAACATTGTCACGTCTACTGATACCGGGCAGTACGCGAGTATGTGTATTTTCGGTTCGTTCCAGATGATGTTGTACTAACTTACGCATCAGCTACACTTTATGCAACTTTCTATGCATCGTCCGGAGAATACCCTACTGCTGGACAATCCAACATGATTGTGCCGATATCGACGATGCTAAACAACACTAGCGACGAGGCTTCGGTCCCACCAGCATTTTCTGTACGCTTTCCCTTTTGCATTGTGAGTGTTAAGTAAACCCTTTTAGCTCAACGTGACGCTCCCGCAAAACACTGTTGAAATCTATGCCGAGCTCTATGCATCCGGCAATGGAGACGAGGAATTCTGGGTGAGAGAGTTTGTTGCATATAAGGAAACCGAATCACAGATTGATTCTTCTCTCAAGTACTACAACACAGCCGATGAATATCTCGGATATCTTCCGCCCGGCACAACATACGGCGGAGGCCCTTTCCGCGAGGTTCGTCTCCTCGTGGATGGTCAAGTTGCTGGTGTAGCCTTTCCATATGCTGTCATTTTCACAGGCGGCATAAATCCCGCAGTTTGGAGGTATGATCTTGTACTTTCTCAGTTTTTTCTTTCAACCATATGATTCACAGGCCCATCACATCATATGGTGCAATTGATCTTCCTACTTACTTCCTTGATCTCACACCATTTGCACCGGTGTTCGCCGACGGCCTCCCCCATAATGTGACTTTGGACGTCGCCTCCGCTGAAACAAACCACACTCTTAACCAGAACTGGTATGTTTCTGGACTCTTGCAGGTTGTCACGGACCCGTCAGGCAAACAAACCACGGGCAGCATCACGGCGTATGATGCTCAACCCTATGCAATAACGGAAACAACAGCAAGCATCGGCGGCGCAGATGTCAATATCACGGTCAAAGCTCAGCGCTCCCTCAAAATTGAGGCAACCATTGTCAGCGGTAGTGGGACGACAAACAATGTCGTTTTCCAACAGAGCATGGACTTTACAAATACGCAATATTATCTCGATGACGCCAATACCCAGGTTGAGATCCATCATTGTCCCTAACAATTTGCTCATCACTCAACACATTCATCGCAGAACGTCGCACAGATATCCTCCGGCTCAATCATTTCAACTCACAACGGAGTCTCAGTTCTTACCGACAACTTCGACTATCCCCTGTACATCAACTTCTCAGCCCTGGTTGATAATGATACCGTGACATCATGCAAGTTTCGCTCAGTTTAATTTGCATTGCATGACTGACCAACTTTCGCTTCAGATTATACCACGTTCGATCACTCGTATAACCGTCAGCTTGTCCCTGCGCCTTTCATATTGGGATCCGACATTAGTGAGCGCCAGCAGACAGGTACGATATCTTTTTCTGCAGGGAACACGTACTCAACTGTATTCCAGCGGGTTACCTCACCTTGTTGACTACGGGACTTGTTACTGCGAACGGGACCAGCAATAATACCTTTTCGTACATCGACACCAGGGGCAACACATACGATAGGGATGTAAACGCTGCATATGATGTGATCACCTATGACGAGCAGAGCGGCAGCCTTGCAACCACTCCCCTACCCACGTTCCCTTTGGCTTCCAATGCACAGTTCATTCCCGGTGCAAGACTTCCAGGTGGAAGAGTGTGTGCATAACTCGTAGATTAGATATAGCGATAACATCGTGAATAGATGCGAGAAGCTATTTATTTAATGCATGATACATCTAACGCCCGACAAGACCGCCCTGAAGAGCAACTATTTGGGCGTGCTAGCACCCTCCACCGTCTTAAATAACCCAAGTCCACAACACCTCAACGGCCACATATGCACGTGTTGAACAGCAAACAGCTCCGTGTTGAGACGGGGCTTCCAACGTGGAAGCTGCGAAATCTGATGAAGATTCGAGACGATGACCACTATATACGTTGTCGCGATGGTTGAAAGCGCGAGAGAGCAAAGCGTCTAGAACAATCCGACGACGCGCCCAGTTTGTGGGTCAAGTCCGACTTCCCAGAATCCTGCGCGGCAATTTCTCGTGAGATAAATTTTGGATAAAGCACATGATATTACTTACCTGGCCGTGTGCCAAGTCCCGGCATGGTCTGCATGTCTCCGAGAATAGGGTATAGGAAACCAGCTCCAGCAGATAGGCGCACTTCGCGAATGGGAACGGTGAAGCCAGAAGGAGCATTTTTAAGTGACGGATCATGAGAGAATGAATATTGGGTCTTTGCCATACAAACTGAATGAACGGCATAAATATAACTTCACAGACATAGGGAGAGAGGACTTACTAGGCAGATTGCTGTAGCCTTGCCGAGTATAAGTTTCTATTTGCTTGCTGGCATGCTCGCTAAGCTCGATGCCAGCCGCACGGTATATTTCCTTGCAGATTATCTCGATCTTTTGAGCGATGGGGAGGTTGAGGTCGTAGAGGAATCTGAAGCCGGATTCTCCTTCGCAAGTTGCAATGACTGCCTCGGCAAGGGCACGTGCACCAGCACCACCTTCTGCCCAGTGGTTGCTCACTACCGCGGCATCGGCACCAGCAGCGAGAGCTTCCTGACGGATGAGCTCAAGTTCGGCAGGGGTATCCGAACTACGTGAAAGTCAGCCAACATTCAGGCGGGAAAATGGAAGCAACACAAACGAAAATTGGTTGATAGCAATGATAACCTTGACACCGAACTTCTTGGAGTTCTCGATGTGCCTAGCGAGATTCTGGCAACCTTCCTTGAGGGTGACAAGATCCTCCTTGGTGTAGGTATCAGCCAAAGGCTTGCCAGGTGTCACCTCAGGTCCACCACCGTGCATCTTGAGTGCACGAGTAGTGGCAACGATGACGGTAGCATCAGGCTTCAGGCCACTAACACGACACTTGATATTGCAGAACTTCTCCATGCCCATGTCAGCTCCGAAACCACCCTCAGTCAGCACATAGCCAACGCGGTCGGAAGAGTCGCCCTCCTCAGTTCCTGCAAGCTTGAGAGCGATACGATCAGCGAGGATAGAGGAGTTTCCGTGGGCGATGTTAGCGAAAGGGCCGGCATGGACGAAAACAGGGGTACCCTCGAGCGTTTGCATCAAGTTAGGCTTGACCGTGTCCTTCATGAGAACAGCAAGTGCACCTCCAACACCAATGTCATCAGCAGTGATAGCCTCTCCGCGCTTGCTTGTTGCGACGACCATGTTGCCCAGCCTCTCGCGCATATCAACGAGATCAGTGGTCAACGCCAGCACGGCCATACATTCACTAGCCACAGCGATGTCAAACCCAGCCTCGCGCTCGTGGCCTTTCTCAGTAGGGTTACGGCCGAGTGTGACTTTGCGCAAGAAACGGTCATTAGTATCGAGAACACGGTTCCAAGTGATCGTCTCGGCGTCGATGTCAAGGCGAGCAAAGAGGTTAATTTCCTCGGGTGTCAAGTCGCTCGGGTTGGTTTTGTCGATACCGAGCTTCTTCAAGCGCTTGAGCATCAGGGGTGCGAACTCACGCTTGCCCTTCTTGGAGGGCACAAGACGACTGAAGAGACCCTGCAGAAAGTGAGCTCGTATAACGGGTTTTTCGACGTCAACAGACCTTATCACTCTGAGTCGCTTCGTGGAAGATACGAGCGTCGAGAGCAGCAGCTGCACTCGAAGTCAGGGATCGAAGGTCAGAACAAATTCAGTAAACTTACCCAGTAAGTTATTGGCAGCCGTGACAGCGTGTATGTCACCAGTCAAATGAAGGTTGAACTAAACAAAGAACATCAGGGCGAGAAGGGATCCAAAGAAAGAAAGCCTACCTCATCCATAGGAATTACTTGACTGTAACCTCCACCAGCAGCTCCACCTTTGATACCGAATGTCGGTCCTTGAGAAGGTTGGCGCACACAGGCGAATGCCGGACGTCCAAGATGCGCCCCCAATGCCTGAGCAAGACCAATGGTAGTCGTAGACTTGCCCTCACCCAGAGGAGTGGGTGTGATACTTTAAAAATAAGTCAACTTCAAATAGCAAAACGTGTTCCAGGTAATTCCTACCCAGCAATGACAATGTATTTCCCATCTTTTCGGTGTGCCAAGCGATCCAACACACTGAGCTCGACCTTGGCCTTGAACTTGCCATAGCTCTCAAGTTCGTCGGGTAGGAGTCCCATCTCTTTTGCGAGCTGAGTGACGGGCTTTGGGGTTTGAGCCATAGCAATCTCGATGTCGCTGGGAACTTTCTCCTT